TATCATAGTTGACGTGTACCTATGATGAAAATTACAGGCCTCTCTCATCTTTTTAAGTGGGAGAACTTGCACAATTGGTGGCTGACTAAATACTTTTTTTCCCCACTGTATCTCTCTATTATGCATGGGAATACTTTGGAACAGATTTCCTAAATTAAAATCACCTCAAACTGATTTGCTAGTGCTTTTACAGTCTTTTATGTAAAAAAAAAAAAGGAAATACAATTTTGCTCAGAAAACTTAAATAAAATCATCCGCGGGCCAAATTCAGCCCACAGCACGCCAGTTATAGGCCTTCTCCTTAAGTGCTTTCCCAACGCCTTCACGCTGTTTCTCACCATTCACTATAAATAACTTTATATCATACTAGCCATATATTAAGTGCCTTTTTCTTGATTTGCTGTATATGTTCCCTCAAACCAACAAAGGACAGCGAACATCCTTTCAAGCCGCAAATTGCAATAACATGCACAATAACAAAGAGTGGTCCCATTCCCTATAGCATGTGTCTCAATTACTGACAGATATGTAATTTAGCTGTCAGACCAAGTGTTGATAACATCTTCTTTTAAAAAATTTTTTTACAGACAACCTTGTTGTTCATTTTGTCACGGAATGCTTTGTGAACATTCACAACCAAACATGCAATATGACATTACAAAATGAGAAAGTCAAATCTTGTTTGTTTTGATATGTAAGGATTTTAAGTTCTTGTTCTTAATTTTAAAGGAGAGAGTTTATTTTCTCATAGCCGACAGGACGGGTGGCATGGACAGGCGATGGAGGTGGAGAGGAAGGAGGGACGAGGGGATAGAATATGTCCTTCCCTGTCAGGACCAAGGATATCTATGGTTACACGGACTGTCTGGGGGATGTGTTGTCTGAAAGGATTTTCTAGGGGGATTTGAAAGTTTGAAATGAATAATTGTGTATGTATGCCCTGTACCAGTGGGGGACAAAAAAGCTTCATCAAGAATAGTTGTGTTGCCTGTATCCAGTTGTTTTTAGTCTAGGAAACCATTTAAAACAACAAGTGAATGTAGAAACTGAACTGGGTTGTTCAGTTTCTTGTATATTTTAATTAGAAATTGTGCACCAATATTTAATTTTAAAATCCTATTATATTAAATGAAGTGCCCTTTAATATAGACCACATGGGAAATTCAATACATCAGATTTTTAATATGAATAAAGACTCAGCATTTTGACATGTCCCTCTGTGCACCCTCTAACTTCTAGGAAGATTTAAACCCACTTAACCCCAAGTTTTACCATCATTGTAAACCCTAATTATTTTCTTGCTTTGACAAAGTAATTTCTGAAGATTATTATTTATTTCATGTGATTAGTAATTCATTTTAGGGAGAAAAAAAAACCTGTCCCTCATTTTAAGGTCAACCCAGTTATGTGAACTGAACTCTCGTTTTAATATGGTGAGACTACTCGATTTTAAGTTGTAAAAAAAAAAGAAACAAATGAACATCTAATAGTCAGATCATAGTGTAAAAGCAGGTTCTACTCTTTTTGGCCATTTTCTGGTGTTTTGAGGTGGAAAACTGAGTGGGTCGAGCATAACACGTCAACCCTGTTATCCATAGATAGAGGCTAGAAATGTTTTAACAATTTAAATGTTTTCTGAAGCTTGCGAATTGCCCCCCTCCTGTTGTACACACCAAGCTTCCATTCCCCGTCACAAAGGGATTTGTGGCTGATTTAAGATGAAATTGTCAACACTGTTACGGTCAACCCTGTTACTTTATTTGGCACTTAATAGGCACTTACTATAGTCATTTTATTTAACCTCTTGAGATGGGAAAACATGTGCTCTTCATGACAGAATGTTAAAATTATGTGAAATAAAACATATTTTTTTCACCAAGTTACACTACCCAAAAGGGACTCATTCCATGTAACGACCCAACTATTCATTTGAATGCCCTTTCACCCCTGGAACCTACAGTATGGATACTGATTCAATTATTTAAGGCCCTTAGTGAGATGCCACACACTGCAGTCTCAACATATGTAGAGCCTTCCCCCTCACAGAACTAACGCTAAATTGACATTTTCTCACATTTCCAGTTAATGTGATTGATCTGACGACCCAAAAAAGTTAATGAAACCATCCTCCACACGAGCTAACATGCATCAGCATTAGATCATAGCCATCAACACACAAGCGCACACACACATGGCTCAGCGGTTGAGTAGTTGTGCTCAGCGGTTGAGTAGTTGTGTCAATTCCAGACCTATGTTTATTCATGACGGGGCCGTTTTGTGCCGTGTCAGCATACACGGAAACGGCATGGCAGAGGCTGCGAGGGCCCGGGGCCCACTTATGAGCCAGTGTAATGACTCATTAATAAAGTGTATGGAGGCCAGAGTCACTTTTTCAACACGTTTCATTAACTCACCCACTTTGTAAACGCCAGTCAAACTGACACGAGGGCCATAGCTCTTCACTGCTACCGGAGAGAGATCTAAGAGGGGATCCAGCCTCATGTATATCCATGGGGAGGAAGGAAGCATCCCTTTAGTGGCTGCGGGCCGTGAGCGGTTATGAGAAGAGCCTCACATCCCCTTGTAATTTTTCACTCGGCCATCAATCACATCTGCAACTCCATGAATACGGGATTGGAGGCGGACATTTTCTTTTTTTTTCTCCTACTGCTTTGAATGCATAACATGCAAAAACCAATAAAGCAAAGTAATTAGGAGAGAAGTGCTGAGTTTCAGAAACGGTATATTTGATTGGGGGAAATGTTACTGCTTCATATTAATTATGTAATATGCAACAGTCTACACAGCATGGACCATATTTTATGTACAGTACAACACTGGCATGACATTCATTGTCCGATCCAATGGCACTTCACTATCTTGACATACAGTACATGTAGCTACAGCTTGTATAACATTATATGACACATGTCATGTCAGATTGGGTCATTACCACCATCACATAGCTGACCATGGTCCTGTCATCAAGCATTGGAAGAGTTAAAAGATCTGCAAAAGGCAAAATGTTCAAGGGACAGTTCACCCAAATGTGGTTTCCTTACCCGATAAGAAGTCTATGGACAAGGTAAGACATCAATCTATGCTGTGGTGTTTATTTTTTTACATGGCCACTGTAACTGCAGCAGTCTCAGTTGAGAAAGTCAATAATTTGAAAAAAACAGGGTCATGACAGATTTTCAAGTAATAATCAAGGCTAATATTAATATAAAAATGAATGATTGCTTACCCACCTTTCTTCATAGCTCATGTCAGGGTAAATTGATTGATGTGCACTCTTTTGTTCACCCACTTGTTGTTATCCTCCATATTCAGAGTAAATATTATACCAGCAGTGACACATTGCCATTTATTGTGTTCATGAAATAGCTGAATCTATTGAGATATTATTTAAGCAGAGCTCATACAACACCTTCTTTATATGCAAGGCCTTGCTTTGCCTTTTGGAGTAATAGCAATGTAAAACCCACAGAAAAACACAAAACCTTTGTGATAACTATGTGGTAAATCTTAATCAGTAATTTATTTGTTGGCAAACAAGTTTCACTGTTACAACAAATATTAGTTATGAGGTCATTCCACTTGGAAACCAATACAAAAATGAATAAATAAAAAGCCATAACCTTACTCACAATAAAAACGTATCTGTGTTGCTAAATTCTTTACCTTCATTTTTCACTTTATTTTGTAGTTTGAACAAATAAATAAATATATTTTTCCCTTGAGGAAGAAAAAAAGTACATTTCCAGTTGTTTTTCTCACTAGAAACGTTCTCTCTTCAAAAAGTAAAATACGCCCTCTTTTTCTGTTTGCCTATTGATATTACATTTGTTATTTCTCTCTGAGAAGCACCAGTCTCTTATAACTGATGCAGGCCAACTCTTGGCTAACTTTTCAGACACTTGTGATTGTGTTCCTTCTATGGTGTGTGAACCATCATTCTCTTTCTATCTACACAGTGAAGAAATAATCAAACTGTGAAACAAAAATGGGTTGGAAAACATTGGTTGTTACATCGCTAGAGAGAAAAAAAATTATGTATGGTAAGTGTTTTGTTTTGTGATTTTTTTTGGGTGTTATTTCGTTTTGTTGCTTTGTTTGTTGTTTCTTGAAAAAAAGGAAAAGGAAAAAAAATGCTCATACTGGTGTCAAGACCAGCACAACAGAAAGGAAATGCTCCTAACCAACTACATTTACAGAGACAAAGGTTTGGGTGGAACAAAAATCATACTATTATGTGCAATGCTAGTATCTGTACATTTACATAGTAATATCTCATAAATCTCTGTTATTTGTTTTTTTTCTCTCTCAATTGTTATTGTTACAGCAAAAGAAAAAAAACAAGGAAACAAAAATATATGCTGTAAAGCACATATGATTTAAAGAGGTCCTTCATGATATTGTTCAAAATCAGTTTAGTCGAATTTGCAGGAACACTTCAGCAATAAATGTGCTGCAATATCACTAGAGAGGAAGAAAACCCCTTAAAAAGCCATTATGGATACAGAAGTATAATAAAATAGTCTCGATTTGTTCTGATTTGAACTCTACACATCAACTAGTAGCAGAATGTTTTTTTGTGGCTGTTCGTAGTTCCTTTGGACTGTCAAAATGCATTTCAGAGCCCGAGATCCCGCTGTTCCGAGTGCTCATCTCCCCTCACACGAAGGGGAAAACATAAATCCACACAGGGTTCGGGCATCTCAACAACAACAAAAAGTGAAATGCACATCAATTGATTTCTCCAACATCCAACCCAGACTAGTTATATTATCCACAAAACATAACAGTTTCAATTTCTGTCTGCGGTCAGTACTGGGACTGGCATCAGTTTCGATTATAGTCTTCGGGACACAGAGTAAAAAAAAAAAGGCTACCACTGCCGACGATTGATCAGCACAAGGGGGAACGCGTAGGGGGCGGAGGGGGACCACGGCGAGAAGGGATCAGGGCGGATGAGTCAGGGGGGTTGGGTTGTAGGCCTATAGGCTGGTGACGAGGTGCGAGGGCTCCTGGGGGGCCTCTTCAGGGGACAGATCCTCCTTGTTGGGGGGCACGATGAACCCGTCGCTGCTGCCCCTCCCTAGTTGGTAGTAGGAGTGCAGCTGGTTACGTGAGCCCAGGTTAGGCATGCTCTTGTAGTAGACATCGTCCTGGCTGGCCTCGGGGCTCTTGCCCGCTGCCAGGTGGCCCTCTCCGGCATCTTTATCGGCGAGGGGGGCGGTAGTGGTGGTGGTGCCGGTGTCTATGGTATCCGGTAGGCCTGCCAGCACGGGCATGCTGGTGTAGAGGGAGTCCCTGTTATGGTGCAGGTGGTGGGGGTGGCGGCTGGGGGAAGTGGGCTCCACATCCAGGGTATGCTCGTTGGTGAGCAAGGGGAAGAAGCTCTCGCTGTTCTCCTGCGGGATCCGCCGGCGGGACGAGGACGAGGTGGTGGTGGCCGAGGAGAAGGCTGGGTGGTGGTGGTGGGGGAGCGGAGGCTGGTGCGGCGGGCCCTGGTTGTGGAGGTGGTTGTGGTGGAGGTTGTCCACGGGCGGCAGCAAAGGGGGTCTCTGGGGCAGAAGGGGGGCGTTGGACTCTTCCCGAATCAACTCCAGGCCCAGACCTTCATCATGGAGGTGCGGAGGGAAGGAAGAATGATCATCCAAGTCCAACGTCACGTTCATCCCCATCCCCCCAAGGCCAACATCCTTGCCTCCGTTGCTCATGTTGTTCACCAGCTTGTTCATGAGGTTGCGGTTTTGCTCGGCCGAGCGGTCGTGGTTGTTCAGGTAGGAGGGGATGTAGTTGGATGTCAGCTCTTTCAGGATCTTCTTCTCCAGCGTAGTCTCCTTATGGTTGTAGCCCCGGTCGATGATCTGGACGCAGTCGCTCATGTACTCGGCGCTGGCGATGCTGTAGCCATGGTTACCATTCAGTGGTAGAGTATCCATGACACTTGTATCCCGGGCATTGTTCAGGATTCCCTCTGGAGAACAAAGAGGAATAGAGGAGAGAAGCTCATATGAGAGGGATGGAAATAGCTGTCGCTCATTAGAATGGCTAAATGTCATCCGCTTGGACGTGTTCACGCACACATTAGGCCCGCCAATAACTCTGCTTTCTTTTAATGTGAGGTGCAACCTTTAGAGTGGCTCACAGATTGTGATATTTAGTTTAACCTTTTCACTAGAATTTTGTGTTGTGTATATATGGTATGTCTACAAATGGCAAGATTGTCTAAATGCTTTAACATAGTCAGTCAATTGTAGATATACTTACCTTTTTACACACACAAAACACAAATTCAGAGTAAAATGATATATTCACATCGTACTTGTAATGCAATTACATTTCTTTCATAATTCTATGTTTGGCTTGTGTTGTAGTTGTGAATAACTTTGTCCAAAGATGAGAACACTTATAAATGTGTGACAATCGACAACATGTAAAGCTTTATGCACATACACTCAACGACAACAAACCACAGCCATGCATTTCATTTTAAGAGCGAGATACACAACCTACATCTCTGGACCCCAGTCATATTGGCCCCTATTTAAAGGTTCACTCAGCAATATGCCATAATTATATACTGCGGGGGAACTTGCTGTCTACAGCCATCAATAAAAACAGCATTTAAATCTGCCACAATGTGGGCAATGGGGATTGGGGATGGGGCAAATTGGGAAGAGCCAATCGTAGCAGTCTTGGCAGATTTAAATTATGTTGTTGATGTCTGTAAGCATGATGATGTCATACTGCTGTGTCTACCTTTAAGAAAGCTTAATCTTTAAATTGAGTTGGCCATAGAATAACATATAAAGTTAAATATAGTCCAAAGAGCAGGGTTTCCCAAACTCGGTCCTGGGGACCCAAATGGGTGCACATTTTAGCTTTTGTCCTAGCACTACACAGCTGATTCAAATAATCAACTCATCACCAAGCTTTGATTATTTGAATCAGCTGTGTAGTGATAGGGCAAAAAACATAACGTGCACCCCTTCGGGTCCCCAGGACCGAGTTCGGGAAATGCTGCCATAGAGGGTATGACGATGAGGGTAAACTTGACAGTTATACGTTAGGAAAGGACTTTCTGTTCTCTCATGCAGAGAAAGTATGGATTCCCAATTGTAAAATGTCCACGGAGATGTCAACATTCAGCCTCACACAAGGTCATCAGGCTAGTTAAAATGTGTCTAAAGTTAAGCCTCTTCCCCTACTTTTTTTTGCAGTTCAAATATGAATGTACAACATAAAACTATGCTGGTGGTTACCAAGTACCAAGATTGGCCGACTTCTCAGATGAATCCGATATCTTGGGACCATGAGCATGTCGGCTACTTTGGCCAATTTAATCTTACATTATGGATTACAATTATGTCAACTATAAGTGACAATGACATCTTATGATATCAAATGGATGCACCTTGGGCTGGTCATTTTGCAGAACATATGAAGTTCTTTCAAAGCATCTCCTATCTGAATATATTTGACGGATATTCTCCAGAAGAGGTTAATCATTTCGGAGGAACGTCTGACATTTTGAACAGTGCATTGAACATTGTTCAGTGAACAATAGTATTCACACATTAATTTAGATTGACTCTCACATTTCTATTTGTCAAAGGAAGACCTGTGTTTTTGAAATTGGATTTCTACTTCCAAATAAGATGACTGTATTCTCATACTCCTTCGTCAGCATAGAGTGAAAAGAAAGTAAAGCTAAGGTCAATTACATTTGGTAAGCAATGTTTAGTTTGACTCCCATACTTGTCTCTCTGTAGGGCACTTTTAGGGACAGCATGAGGAAAAGAAAAGACAAAGAAAAAACACAAGTAAGCATAACAGTGGCAGGTAGAAGAGATGTGCACACAGGGTTGATGATGCTTCCAGAAATTACATCCCGTGCGTCATGTCACCATGCATACTTGGTAAACCTTTCTAAGAAACTAGGATCACAGTATATTCAAGGGGGGGGGGGGGGGATGAGTTTACATATATGATGTATTAATCTTGTTATAACATGTTAGTGATCTCCATTGCCAACAAACACTTGAGCACATGCCTCTATCATGCATAGATTTATTTTGCATAGAAGTTTGCTGAAGTTTGTAGTGTCTGTTCAGATAAAACCAAACCATGAGCAACCACCTGACAACAAGTTGTAAAATCCTACACTTCCCCTTTAACTTTACAGCTCAGGTGTTAAAATCACACCTACACAACCTACATGCATTTCCTGTGGTAACATTTGGGAAAAAAACATTATATTCAACTGACATGCAACAAGTCATGACAGACTAGTAGAATGTGTAAGATATTAGCAAGATTTTAGATAATGGATTGGTTCACATGCATCACTTTATTGATATTGTCATATTGATCCAGTGAGTACTATGTGAGTATTATGTATTACTATTGAGTACTATTTTGGATCAGTTAAACTCATTGATACGGTATTGGCTGCTGGAGTTATTGATCTGATTAAATAAAGTTGAGTCCCATTTTCAGATGTGACACATTTTGCCTGACACATGAACTTTTAATATAATGGGCAGCTTTGGTAGAAGAATGTCTTGTTTTGTCGTAGTGCATTGATGTTGTTTTTTGTTGGTTGTGCAAACAGACTTCTTTGCAGATTTTAAGGCACATAAGTCCAATGCAATACTGGCCATTTACATCATTGGGAATGTTCAGTCGGATTATATATACAGTCATAAACATTGCCAACATTTTATAACATCATGTTGTCTTATTGGAAAGGGGCCCAGAGGCATAACAGTTATGTTGTTTATGCTAGTCCATCAGTAGCTCAGCTTTGTATTGTTCATATTAGAATCATAGATTGGGAGGACTAACAGAAAGATGTTCATTTAACCAACTACCATCAACACTTAGAAAACAACAGACATAAGACTGTAGACACACAGGACAACAGTGCAGCAAAACCTTAACAAGTGACTGGTGGTGTATTCAGCTCCCAATTGGCGCACCAATGTCCCTTCCCAATTGTTTAGTGTTTGTCGCACCATTTCCCCACAGTGAATTATGCATGCAGGCACATGAATAGGTTTGGAGTGTGACAAAATGATTCCCAAATGGGAAGCCACCATACACCCACTCCCACCATAAGCCTCCAGCGAAAAAAAGAAAATGAAAAGGTGCAGGTCTTTTCGGGATAAAGCATTTTTTGGGTAGCAAACAAGTAAGGTCTAGCGACATTCATGATGGAATGAAAAGAAGGCTAGCACACCTTGCGTGTTGTACATGCCCACTGACGGGTTGTTATAGACGGCCGATTCCCCGAGTAATGTGTTATAAGGATTGTTAGTGCCATGGGGACGGAGGAGAGCGTTAGTTATAAGATGGTTAGCCATAGCCCCTGGAGCAGCCAGATAGAGACAGAGGGAGGGAGAGAGAGATAGGAAATAGAGGGAGAAAGAAAAAGAGAGAGAGACATGTCAGTCAGGCAGATGCAGCCGAGGCAATGACAGCAATAAACATTCACACGCTCATTAGAGTGAGTTGTTAAACAGTTGCGCTACAGACGTAGCAAAGCTTGAAACAGACTGACATGACCATGGTTATCAAGACGGCAGCAGTGAGGTAGGTCAATAATGGGGTTTTTTTCTCAATGGGATAAACGGCCATTTAGCATTGTTAGCATTGGTGTGCTCACATTCAAGACATGATCAGCTGAGTGTGCAACAGTACAGTATGTTTAAGCATAGACAGATTCAAAGCAAAGACATAACACTTCAATAACGGACCTGAACATGATCAAATCACCACTCTTGACAGATTAAGACATGTTAATACCGAAGTATACCAGGTTTTTCTGCTTTACCCGAATTTGATTTGAATATGCTATGAAAGCTTTTGGTTGGTAACATTTCAGGGTTACTGTATTACGTTGTGTAAATGTTCTAGATCTCACATGCATTTTGTCCATTGAAATTCTTTGCATTCAACTTTCCCGCATAGACAATTCCCTGGCAGAAACAACCTCAAATTAAACATCTGCGTGGATGGTAGTCCCCATTACAGAGCTCATTGTAGTCCCTTCGCACTATACCGGCTCTTTCTGCTTTACTGCCTTTGAACATAAGCGGAGGTTTGTGAGCACAGAGACTCCGATTCTATTTGTCCAAATGTCACCCCTGGACTATGTGGCAGTGACTGATGCCTTGGTCTGTGTGACTAATCTGCTCCCAGATTAGTTCTGAATAAACCTTTGACTTTGAGCAATGTGACTAACTGTCGCTAGACAATACAACGATTTATATGAAGGAGCAGGAGGTACTGTAGTTTGGATGTGGGTTGGATTCTGCACAGCCGTTAGTGAGGAAAAACTGACTGACTTTTGGGGGGAAAATTGCTTCATTTTGTGAAATATTGAAATATTTTGAGTTACGGTATCCAGTTGCGAACATATTTGCAATAAGCTCCTGTTTATATGTTATGTTCGCAACACCGCAACACCTAAGAGTTTTCTCTCTTCAGATTCAGAGCATATATCGAGATCCTAACATGTGCTCTGTGACATTCCCGATTCAACTGTGCAGTGTACCAATGCCAGAGTGCGTAAATATCTTCGGAAAACATCTTTCATCTGAGGCGGAAATGCACGCCAATTAGTTCTGCCGACGCAGTAGCCTACACTGTTCTCTCGCAGTGCTCTGAATCTGTCAGAGCGAGGAAGAGAGAGAGAGAGAGGGAAAGAAAGAAAGCGATGGAGATAAACCACTTCTCTAACGACATATGACTCTCGTCTTTGACAAACAGTGTCAAGGAAAGTCTCAATTATACGTCTGAAAACGAACCGCAACCAATTCTGAATGGAGAGGTATAGGACTTAAGGAAATGGCAGGAGTTGGATGATGTATGACTAATTATGATAGCTAACGTTGAGGATTGAGTACAGCTCTGTTATGCATCCTGTACTAAGTGTATCAAGCACTGTGCTAATGATGACATGTTGGGAATGGGCTAACAGTTACAGTATGTGTTATGTGTTGTATGCTAATTGGCCAGCAAGGGCATGATGGGAATGATACAGAGGCGATATATCTGTGCTATTGTCTTACCACATTTATTAATGCCTAGAACTATAACCTACATCAGGTTCCTGCTGGGTTTTCTACTCCTTTGACCGTACAGGGAACAAAAAGGCCGACATTATAATTTCCTGAAAGAGAACCTTTAAATATCAGTTATCCAGTTGAATAACTTCACTAATATAGTTTCAACAGGCAATCTTTCTATGAATGCAGTATCTTCAACTCCAACACTATCTATCACAGTGGTCACCAACGGGTCGATAGCGATCGAATGGTCGATCTCCAAGGCTTTCCTAGTTGATCGCCAAACATTCCTGTAAAAAGCCCAACGATAAAGCCTTGCGTTCCGATTTTTATATTCGTTTCGCGCTGTTTGTGGTAGGTGTACTTGATTCAGCTGCCCTGTGCGCCAGGTAGTCAAAGTGTTCCCATTTTGAACCATTTCGTGCGTCTAAAGGTACAAACGCCGCCTACCCGGTGGGGCCCGGAGATCAAATCAAGTGCACCTATAGACCAACTAGATAGCTCAGATCACTTTGTCTGCACTCCGCATCTTCCACGAGCCCACAGCGAAGTTGATAGTCAACTGTACTGAGTGAGATTTCAAAACTTTAAAAACCATGACTAGAGAGACTGTCAACGAATACAGCAAAGAGCTGCTGTTTTTATGAGTGAGTTCATGTTTAAGATTTTATTCAGCACTGTCAACACTTTATTCAACACTTTTATAAGACATAAAATGTCCGCTCCCTATCCACTCACACTACAAAGTGTATCGATAGACTTGCATTTTTATTAGCGGCTTGTGTCTTTCTAATATAGAATAGTAGGCCTAGTTCACGTTCTCTGGTTTCGAATTTCGCCATCAGCTGGATTATGGTGACCCCTTTTTAGTCAGTCAGCGGAGGGAGGAAGAACTGAGGGACGGTGAGAGGCAGCCTCTCTGCTGCGCTCTCTCACTCACACGCTCTTTCTCTCTCACAAGTAATACAACAAATGATATATTACTAGTGTGATCATATACCTTGTGTTTTGAAATATAATTTTAAAATGGTCTGAGAAGAACATCATTAGCAGGTCAATTCAAGAATTGCCAATACGCATGAGTAATGTATTGTGATAATGTATGAGCCTATAGCCTACTGCACAAACCTCAATGCTACAGAACTGTTTTTAAAGGTCCAATGCAGCCATTTTTATCTCAACATCAAATAATTTTTGTGTAATAATTAAGTACTTTACTTGGATTGTTTACAAAAAAAAAGAAAAAAAAAAAAGAAAAAAAGGTTCTTAGCAAAGTGCAATTTCTCAAGCAAGAATTTTGCTAGGACTGTCTGGGAGTGGTCTGAGTAGGGAGGGGAAAACTAAGAACTAGCTGTTATTGGCAGAGAGGTTTGGAACTGTCTTTCTTATTGGTCTATTAACTAACTTACCGCCTGGTGATGTCACCAGGCAGGCTAAAACTCCATCCACCAAATCAGGCTGAAATTTCAGATGGTCTTTTCAAACAGTTCTTACACTAAAAGGGCATTATCATCATTTTCACAATTTCACAGGTTCATTTTGCATAGTCTTACGTATATTAAGTCATGTTTTTCTTTTCATTCTGAGCGGTAGATCTCGGCCTGCATTTGACACAGAAAGTGGTCTCAGCACAGAAAAGGTTGGTGACCACTGACCTATCATGTTGATGCATCGGAGCAAAATCACGATTTACTCAACCGAACTAATTTTTTAGACGTAATTTACATATGCTGTTTGATGTGTCAATTAACATGGATGTATGTATCCATTAAGTTATTGCTTCTGTTTGATATAATGACTATGTGCTCCTTTCTTGTTGCTGTTGGTTCTCTAATTACGAAGCCTTCCAAAAATACCAGCCTCTTTTGATATGATAAACAGCTCCTCCCCACCCCCGGCTGCTCGCCCACTTGTGTCTGTGTTTGATAAATTGGATCATTTCCAAACCGTACCGATTGTGTAGCAATAATCGTGAATGCGGGGATAAATTAAACATGTGAGGCTATCAAGATGATTGCACGCTTCCCTCTCGAGAGGAGAGAAGTATGGAGTCAGCTGCAGTTATGCAGAGACTATGAGGTGGGGTACTGAATACCCATTCAAAAAGGACTCCCAGGGAGAGATGTATGCTCATACACATAATTCCATAAAAACATTGCAGAGAAGAGCAAGGGGGAGGTGGGTTTCTATTCCCATCTGTTTGTGATGCTTTTGACGCTTCAGAACATGATGTGTTATCCTGTGCCAGACGGAAAATGCATCTGGGCAGACTTAGTGTTTATTCCAACGCTTCATACATCAGACCCGACGCGTTTCAACGCCTTGAGCTGAAAACGTGTTAATTAATTTACTCCTCTCTTCCTGGTCTTCGTGATAGATCTATGGCAGTATCTTCTGGGCCTGCCCACCCCACCGAGCTCCACCCCTTTCTTTCTTTCTTTCTTTCTTTCTTTCTTTCTTTCTCCCCCCCCCCCCCCCCCCCCCCCTCCCTCCCACCCTCCCTCCCTCCCTCCCTCCCTCCACTAAAAGCCAAAGTCTTGGGATGGCGCTCGTCGCGGAGTGCCTAATTGAGATCTCCACACTTCCTCTCGCCGTCTAACATCAATCCGTCATCATAACTAGGCATTAGTGTCTGAGGGAGAGGGAGCGACGAGCAGATTTAGAGAGTGAGGTAGAGACAGGGACTCAACCCCTCCAAGGGACCCCATGACTGGAGAGGAGTCGTCCCTGAGAAATGTCAGAGTGTTGGCATCATCATCTAGTGCAGATAGGATCTAGGAACCTATGATAGATGCCTCTCACACTGAGACCTCAGAGTCAGCACTTGACACGTATTTATTTGGACCGCCGTCCAATATGCTATGGTGTATTTATTTAATAGTTAAAGAAGATCATTTTCATCATATAATGAAATTGGGAGATAAGCCTTTGTTGATGGTTACATATTTTATATATTTTTAGGTGACAATTATGTAAAATAAAGCAATTACTATTACTTTCCTGGTTTCACACTAGTTTGGTTGACAGCTGTCATGAAGATGTGTAGAACATTAACAAACATGCTCTTGTCTAACTGTTTTTTGGTTAGGCAAATAAAATTATGCTTTTATGCTTTTTTAAACTTTGGTTCTATCAGGTGCAAAATTCATCCTTTTCAAATTAATTAAAAGTTTTGTATCTTACTTTAATACATTTTTTAAAATTTAACTGCATATTTAAAAGATTAGTTATTAAAAAAAGTAAATGTCATTTAGGATGGAGTTTAGGACGGAGTTGAGTACCTTTTGCGTCCCTTTGATATTTTAATTAGAAATTGTGCACAAATATTGGATTTTAAAAGCCTGTTATATTAAAGGAAGTGCCCTTTAATATAGACCACATGGACAATTCTATAAATTAGATTTTTTGTAATGAATAAAAACCTACTAAAGTGGCAATATTCAGCATCCTCTGTGACTTCTAGAAAGATTTTAACACACTTAACCCCAAAATGTCTCCAAGTTGTCACCATCATTGTAATGCCCTAGATATTTTGTTGCTTTGACAGTCATTTCTGAATAGTATTATCTATTTCATGTTATTAGTGATTCATTTTAAGGTTAAAAAAACCATGTCCCTCATTTGAAGGCCAACCCTGTTACGTGAACTGAACTTTTGTTTTAATATGGTGAGACTATTCCTTTAAAAAACAAACATCTAATAGTCACATCATAGTGTAAAAGCAGGTGAGCTGGTTTTACTATTTTCTGACATTTTCTGGTGTTTCGTGGTGGAAAACTGAGCGGGTCGAGCATTACACGTTAGATAGACAGGCTAGAAATGTTTCAACAATTAAATTTTTGGGGTGACGCTAGCATACAATTGTCCCTCCCTGTTGCACACAAGCAGCGTCCATTGCCCCTGTCACAAGGGGATTTATGGCTGATTTAAAATGAAATCGTCAACACTGTTGTTATGGTCAATCCTGTTGTTACAGTAAATCCTGTTACTTTATTTGGCACTTAATAGGCACTTACTATAGTCCCTTTTTATTTAACCTCTTGAGATGGGGTATTTTATTAAGTTGAACATGTCTTTATGACAGAATGTAAAAATGTTGTGAAATAAAACTTGTGGATCGACCCAGTTACTATTTTAATAAAGTAAGGGATTAATAATTATTTTAGAAAACAACAGGACCCCTTATATACATATATAAACTACCAGTCAAAAGTTTGGACACACATACTCATTCAAGGTTTTTTTTTATTGTTTATTTTATTTTACATTGTAGAATAATAGTTTAGACATCAAAACTATGAAATAACACATATGGAATCATGTAGTAACCAAAAAGGTGTTAAACAAATCAAAATATATTTTATATTTGAAATTCTTCAAATAGCCAACCTGTGCCTTGATGACAGCTTTGCACACTCTTGGCATTCTCTCAACCAGCATCACCTGGAATGCATTTAAATTAACAAGTGTGCCTTCTTAAAAGTTAATTTGTGGAATTTATTTCCTTCATAATGTCTTTGAGCCAATCAGTTGTGTTGTGGCGAGGTAGGGGGGTATACAGAAGATAGCCCTATTTGGTAATAGACCAAGTCCATATTATGGCAAGAACAGCTCAAATAAGCAAAGAGAAACGACAGTCCATCATTACTTTAAGACATGAAGGTCAGTCAATACGGAACATTTCAAGAACTTTGAAAGTTTCTTCAAGTACAGTCGCAAAAACCATCAAGCGCTATGATGAAACTGGCTCTCATGAGGACCGCCACAGGAATGGAAGACCCAGAGCTACCTCTGCTGCAGAGGATAAGTTCATTAGAGTTACCAGCCTCAGAAATTGCAGCCCAAATAAATGCTTCACAGAGTTCAAGTAACAGACACATCAACATCAACTGTTCAGAGGAGACTGTGTTACTCAGGCCATCATGGTCTAATTGCTGCAAAGAAACCACTACTAAAGGACACCAATAAGAAGAAGAGACTTGGTTGGGCCAAGAAACACAAGCAATGGACATTAGACCGGTGGAAATGTGTCCTTTGGTCTGGTCTCCAAATGTGAGATTTTTGGCTCTAACCGCTGTGGCTTTGTGAGACGCGTGTGGGTGAACGGATGATCTCCGCATATGTATTTCCCAACGTAAAGCATGGAGGAGGTGGTGTTATGGTGTGGGGGTGCTTTGCTGGTGACACTGTCTGTGATTCATTTAGAATTCAAGGCACACTTAACCAGCATGGCTACCACAGCATTCTGCAGTGATACGCCATCCCATCAGGTTTGAGCTTAGTGGGACAATCATTTGTTTTTCAACAGGACAATGACCCAACACACCTCCAGGCTGTGTAAGGGCTATTTTACCAAAAAGGAGAGTGATGGGGTGCTGCATCAGATGACCTGTCCTCCACAATCTCCCGACCTCAACCCAGATGGTTTAGATGGTTTGGGATGAGTCGGACCGCAGAGTGAAGGAAAAGCAGCCAACAAGTGCTCAGCATATGTGGGAACTCCTTCAAGACTGTTGGAAAAGCAATCCAGGTGAAGCCGGTTGAGAGAATGCCAAGAGTGTGCAAAGCTGTCACCAAGGCAAAGGGTGGCTATTTGAAGAATCTCAAATATAAAAAATATTTTGATTTGTTGAACACTATTTTGGTTACTACGTGATTCCATGTGTTATTTCATAGTTTTGATGTCTTCACTATTATTCTACAATGTAGAAAATTATAAAAATAAAGAAAAACCCTTGAATGAGTAGTGTGTCCAAACCTTTGACTGGTACTGTATATATGAGCAGGTGGGTGGGAGACATATACTTTTGTTCTGTGCACAAAACACAAAGTGGACTATCTCTTGTCAAGCGACCATGGCACGATCAAGTGTGAAAAACACCCACACTATGCTGACTTGATGGATAGCATATTTCACTGTCAGGACACTGGATGAGCATAGGGCAAGAACCTCGAACTCCGGTCCTGGAAAGCTCCAGGGTGTGCATGATTTTGTCCCAGCCCAGCACTAACACACCTGATTCAAACAATCACGATCCAGACAGAAGACCATTATTCGTCAATCCAGACCAAAGAAACCATTGTCTTTGTGCTGCGGCGGAACAAAAGCCTGCATATGCAATTTCTCCCTTCTTCCTTGACATCACACAATGCTGGAAACCTAAATGTGAGGCTGGTGGGTTGCAGGGCGTTCAAGCATGCGTTGTGTTAACTGACTAATTATTATTACCTCGGTTCAACGACGCTGAGCTGTTGATGTCGCCGGTTATGAAAGACGACTCCGACTGTTTCCTGACTGTGTCGTTCCACATCCGACGGATCCGGCTCTGCAGAGAGGGAACAATACAACTAACACGTCAGTGGGGCTTTGTAACGGTAATGTAATCAGTGTTCAGAAGACTAGATGGCTTCCAGTTAGAACATACTATAGAAAGTCACATTTTACTGTGTTACAAAGTGGGATTAAAATTGATTTAATTGCCTTTTTTTTTAATCAACGATCTACACAACATATTCAAAGTAATGTCAAAGTGGAAGAAAAATTCTCATTTTTTTTATTAATGAAGAATAAAACACTAATATACCTTGATTAGATAAGTGTTCATTTTCATTCTTCTTTTCTATGTGTCATTTAGGTCATTATTGTGGAGTCACTACTATGTTGTTGATCCATCCTCAGTTTTCTCCCATCACAGCCACTGAACTCTATAGCTGTTTTAAAATCCCCAATGGTCTCATGGTGACATCCCTAAGCAGTTTCCTTCCTGTCCTGCAGCTCAGTTCAGAAGGATGACTGCATCTTTGATGTGTCTGGGTGGTTTCATTTTTTATTTATGTATTTATTTCACCTTTATTTAACCAAATAAGCCAGTTGAGAACAAGTTCTAATTTACAACTGCGACCTGGCCAAGATAAAGCAAAGCAGTGCGATAAAAACAACAACACAGAGTTACATATGGGATAAACAAAATGTACAGTCAATAACACAACAGAAAATGTATATACAGTGTGTGCAAATGTAGTAAGTTACGAAGGTAAGGCAATAAATAGGCCATAGTGCAAAATAATTACAATTTAGTATTAACACTGGAATGATAGATGTGCAGAAGATGATGTGCAAATAGAGATACTGGGGTGCAAATTAGCAAAATAAATAACAATATGGGGATGAGGTAGTTGGGTGGGCTAATTACAGATGGGCTGTGTACAGGTGCAGTGATCGGTAAGCTGCTCTGATGCTTAAAGTTAGTGAGGGAGATAAGAGTCTCCAGCTTCAGAGATTTTTGCAGTACATTCCAGTCATTGGCAGCAGAGAACTGGAAGGAATGGCGGCCAAAGGAGGTGTTGGCTTTGGGGATGACCAGTGAGATATACCTGCTGGAGAGCATTCTACGGGTGGGTGTTGCTATGGTGACCAATGAGCTAAGATAAGGCAGGGATTTGCCTTGCAGTGATTTATAGATGACCTGGAGCCAGTGGGTTTGGCAACGAATATGTAGTGAGGGCCAGCCAACGAGAGCGTACAGGTCACAAACGGATGGCACTGTGATAGACTACATCCAATTTGCTGAGTAGAGTGTTGGAGGCTATTTTGTAAATGACATCGCCGAAGGATCGGTAGGATAGTCAGTTTTACGAGGGCATGTTTGGCAGCATGAGTGAAGGAGGCTTTGTTGAGAAATAGGAAGCCGATTCTAGATTTAACTTTGGATTGGAGATGCTTAATGTGAGTCTGGAAGGAGAGTTTACGGTCTAACCAGACACCTAGGTATTTGTAGTTGTCCACATATTCTAAGTCAGACCCGCCGAGAGTAGTGATTCTAGTCGGGCGGGCGGGTGCAAGCAGCGTTCGATTGAAGAGCATACATTTAGCATGCAACTAGCGTTTAAGAGCAGTTGGAGGCTACGGAAGAAGTGCTGTATGGCATTGAAGCTCGTTTGGAGGTTTGTTAACACAGTGTCCAATGAAGGGCTAGATGTATACAAAATGGTGTCGTCTGCGTAGAGGTGGATCTGAGAGTCACCAGTCAAGAGCAACATCATTGATATACACAGAGAATAGAGTCGGCCCGAGAATTGAACACTGTGGCACCCCCATAGAGACTGCCAGAGGTCCAGACAACAGGCCCTCCGATTTGTAACATTGAACTCTATCTGAGAAGTAGTTGATGAACCAGGTGAGGCAGTCATTTGAGAAACCAAGGCTATTTAGTCTGCCAATAAGAATGCGGTGATTGACGGAGTCGAAAGCCTTGGCCAGGTCGCGTGGGCAAGTTGCAGCGGAGGGTGCAGAGCTGGTGGCCGGGGTAGGGTTAGCCAGGTGGAAAGCATGGCCAGCCATAGCAAAATGCTTGTTGAAATCTTTGATTATCGTAGATTTATTGGTAGTGACAGTGTTTCCTAGCCTCAGTGCAGTGGGCAGCTGGGAGGAGGTGTTCTTATTCTTCACTTTACAGTGTCCCAAAACCTTTTGGAGTTAGTGCTACAGGATGCAAATTTCTGTTTGAAAAAGCTATCCTTCGCTTTCCTAACTGATTGTGTATATTGGTTCCTGACTTCCCTAAAAAGTTTAATATCGTGGGGGCTGTTCGATGCTAATGCAGTACGCCACAGGATGTTTTTGTGCTGGTCAAGGGCAGTCAAGTCTTGGGTGAACCAGGGGCTATATCTGTTCTTAGTTCTCAATATCCATCCAGGATACTCGGGCCAGGTCAATTAGAAAGGCCTGCTCGCTGAAGTGTTTTAGGGAGCGTTTGACAGTGATGAGGGGTGGTCGTTTGACCGCGGACCCATTACGGATGCAGGCAATGAGGCAGTGATTGCTGATATCCTGGTTGAAGACAGCGGTGGTGTATTTAGAGGGTAAATTAGTCAGGATGATATCTATGAGGGTGCCCATGTTAACGGATTTAGGGTTGTACCTGGTAGGTTCCTTGATAATTTGTGTAAGATTGAGGGCATCTAGTTTAGATTGTAGGATGGCCAGGGTGTTAAGCATATCCCAGTTTAGGTCACAAAGCAATACGAACTCTAAGGATAGATGGGGGGCGATCAATTCACATATGGTGTCCAGGGCACAGCTGGGGGCGGAGGGGGGTCTGCAGCAAGCGGCAACAGTGAGAGACTTATTTCTGGAAAGGTGGATTTTTAGAAGTAGAAGCTCAAACTGTTTGGGCACAGACCTGGATAGTATGATAGAGCTCTGCAGGCTATCTCTACAGTTGATTGCAACTCCGCCCCCTTTGGCAGTTCTATTTAGATGGAAAATGTTGTTGGGAACATCAGGGTTGGCGGAGTGTGCTAACGCACCTAATAACTCAAACTTAGGGAGGAGGCTTCTGATGTTAACATGCAAGAAACCAAGGCTTTTGCAGTTACAGAAGTCAACAAATGATAGCGCCTGGGGAGTAGGAGTGATACTGACGTCTACAGGGCCTGGGTTAACCTCTACGTAACCAGAGGAACAGAGGAGGAATAGAATAAGGATACGGCTAAAGGCTTTAAGAACTGGTCTTCTAGTGCATTGGGTACAGAAAATAAAAGGGGCAGATTTCCGTGCGTTGTAGAATAGATTCAGGGCATTATGTACAGACAAGGATATGGAAGGATATGAGTACAGTAGAGGTAAACCTAAGCGTTGGGTAACGATGAAATAGATAGCATCACTGGAGGCACCGATTGAGCCGGTCTCCGCGTGTGTGGGGGGTGGAACAAAGGAGCCATCTGAGGCAGGTTGAGCGGGACTGGGGGCTCTACAGTGAAAAAGTACAGTAAGAACTAACCGAAACAGCAATAGGCAAGGCATATTGACATGAGAGAGAGGCATAAAGCAATCACAGGTGTTATTCGAGAGAGCTAAGACAACAGCTGGTAATGGCGACGAAAGTTTGAGCTGAGGCTAAACAGATAAACAGGATGGGGTACCATATAAAGGAACAGTCCAGCAGGCATCAGCTGTGTAGCTGAGTGATCATAAGGTCCAGTGAACAGCAATAGGTGAGTCTGGGAGCAGTTCAGTGGCTGCTACAGCACAGGCAAGCAGGAGGCACGGCTGTTGATTGCGTGTGCTAGTGGGCCGGGGCAACGGGAAGCCTGTTGACACCACATCAGACGATTACGTTGGCAGACCAGTCGTGATGGATCGGCGGGGCTCCGTGTCAACACTAGGAGGTCCCGTCCGGTTGACAGAGAGTTAGATAGCCGGGAGATGGGCCTGGCTCGAGGCTAGCTCAAGGCTAACTGGGGCTTGCTTCTGGACAGCAGTGATTAGCCAACAACAACAACAGCCATTCGGTTGCAGCTAGCTAGTTCCGATGATCCGGTGTTAAGGTCCAGTGATTCAGTGATTCGGAAGAAAATCCGATGTGCTATGGCTCGATAGCGCGATGTGCAGACTGGCCGATAACTGTCCAGGCTAGAGCTGGCTGGTAGGTAGCGCAGGCCATGGACAATGGTGAAGACAGCTAACGGTGGCTAATAGCAAGTAGCTAGTTAGCTGGCTAGCTGGCTAGCTTCAGCCGGATGTTCTAGATAAGAAGGTATAATTAAATAATAGAATCCGTTCCACATTGGGTGAGGCGGGTTGCAGGAAAGTATATTTAGTTAAAGGATGGAAAGTGAGATTGAGAAATATATACGAAAAAGACAAAAAAACTAAAAAACAGGCTATTTACATCAGGACACTACAGAAACCACGACCGCACTGCTACGCCATCTTGGATCAGATTAATACATCATCCATAGCATAATTATTAACTAGACCATTCTTAAAGATAGAGTGCATTCGGAAAGTATTCAGACCCCTTCCCTTTTTCCACGTTTTGCTACTTTACAGCCTTATTCTAAAATGGATTACATTATTTTTTTCCCTCATCAATCTACACAAAATACCCCATAAAGACAAAGCGAAAACAGGTTTTAATAATTCTTTGCAAAAAAAACAAAAACAGAAATACCTTATTTAGATAAATATTCAGACCCTTTGCTATGAGACTCAAAATTGAGCTCAGGTGCATCCTGTTTCCATTTATCCTCCTTGAGATGTTTCTACAACTTGATTGGAGTCCACCTGTGGTAAATTCAATTGGTTGGACATGTTTTGGAAAGGCACACACCTGTCTATATAAGGTCCCACAGTTCAGTGCATGTCAGAGCAAAAACCAAGCCATGAGGTCAAAGGAATTGTCTGTAGAGCTCCGAGACAGGATTGTGTCGAGGCACAGATCTGGGGAAGGGTACCAAAACATTTCCGCATCATTGAAGGTCCCCAAGAACACAGTGGCCTCCATCATTCTTAAATGGAAGAAGTTTGGAACCACCAAGATTCTTCCTAGAGCTGGCCGCACGGACAAACTGAGGAATCGGGGGAGAAGGGCCTTGGTCAGGGAGGTGACCAAGAACCCGATGGTCACTCTGACAGAGCTCCAGAGTTCCTCTGTGGAGATGGGACAACCTTCCAGAAGGACAACCATCTCTGCAGCACTCCACCAATCAGGCCTTTATGGTAGAGTGGCCAGACGGAAGCCACTCCTCAGTAAAAGGCACATGACAGCCCGCTTGGAGTTTGCCAAAAGGCACCTAAAGGACTCTCAGCCCATGAGAAACCAGATTCTGTGGTCTGATGAAACCAAGATTGAACGCTTTGGCCTAAATGCCAAGCGTCATATCTGGAGGAAACCTGGCACCATCCCTACGGTGATGCACAGTGGTGGCAGCATCATGCTGTGGGGATGTTTTTCAGCGGCAGGGACTGGGAGACTAGTCAGGATCGAGGGAAAGATTAATGGAGCACAGTACAGAGAGATCCTTGATGAAAACCTGCTTCAGAGCACTCAGGACCTCAGACTGGGGTGAAGGTTCACCTTCCAATAGGACAACGACCCTAAGCACACAGCCAAGACAACGCAGGAGTGGCTTCTGGACAAGTCTCTGAATGTCCTTGAGTGGCCCAGTCAGAGCCGGATCGAACATCTCTGGAGAGACCTGAAAATAGCTGTGCAGCGATGCTCCCCATCCAACCTGACAGAGCTTGGGAGGATCTGCAGAGAAGAATGGGAGAAACTCCCAAAATACAGGTGTGCCAAGCTTGTAGCGTCATACCGAAGACGAGTCGAGGCTGTAATCGCTTCCAAAGGTGCTTCAACAAAGTACTGAGTAAAGGGTCTGAATACTTATGTAAATGTGACATTTCAATTTTTTATTTTTAAGACATTTTCAAAAAATTCTAAAAACCCGTTTTTGCATCTCATTATGAGGTATTTTGTGTAGATTGAAAAAGATGTAATCCATTTTAGAATAAGGCTGTAACGTAACAAAATGTGGAAAAAGTTAAGGGGTCTGAATACTTTCCAAATGCACTGTATATTCAATGTCAGATTTGTTATTGTTACCCATCTACGAATCACTGCCCTTCTTTATGAGGCTTTCGAAAAGCTCCCTGGTCTTTGTAGTTGAATCTGCGCTTGAAATTCAATACTTGACTGAGTGTCCTTACAGATGTTGTATGTATGGGGACAGAGGAAGGGATAATCATTTTAAAAAATAATGTCAACCCCTATTATTTCACACAGAGTGAGTCCATATAACTTATTACGTGATTTCTTAAGCCAAATGTTACTTCTGAACTAATTTAGGCTTGCCTAAACAAAGGGGGTGAATACTTATGCAACAACTAAATTGTAGTTATTCAATTATTATTAATTCGGGTTTTTTTTAAATTAACTGACATTATGGAGTATTTTGTGTAGATCAATGTCAAAAAGTTACAACAAGATCTATTTCAATCCCACTTTGTAACGCAACAAAATGTTGAAAAGGTTCAAGGGGGTGTAGACTTTCTATAGGCACTATATATGTTTTGGGTGGGCGAAGCATCATTCACTGGCCGTATAAAAACACACCTCAACCCTGTGATGATGCATTCATTCAGACCTCTCCACATAGGTTGGATTTCCCTGCAGTAAATTACTGTATTCTTTGGTACTGTGTCTTTCTGTAAGTATTTGTAAAGGTTTGACTTCAACACATCACAATAGTGTTATCACAATTAAGTAATTGCTACTGGTATTGCTACCTCTCCCTGCTGTTATCGCTAACCCGTTGCTCTACACTACTGTAAGAGTCAAGACCATGTTCAACTGTACGTGGCTGGGATTGCTTGTGGGAGCAGGCCTGTCTGGAGTAACAGCCGGGGCAGGGTTTGCACTTTTGGGACTAGTCCATTGCGCTACACAAGCTCAATCAAGCACAGCTTAAGTCTTTGAGAGAATAAACACAATATACAACAATTTCAAAGATTTTACTGAGTTACAGTTCATATAAGAAAATCAGTCAATTGAAATAAATAAATTAGGCCCTTATCTATGGATTTCACATGACTGGGAATACAGATATGCATCGATTGGTCACAGATACCTTAAAAAAAAGGTAAGGGCATCAGTATCTGGTGTGACCACCATTTGCCTCATGCAGCGTGACACATCTCCTTCTCATAGAGATAATCAGGCTGTTGATTGTGGCCTGTGGAATGTTGTCCCACTCCTCTTCAATGGCTCTGCGAAGTTGCTGGATATTGGTGGGAACAGGAACACGCTGTCGTACACTTCGATCCAGAGCATCTCAAACATGCTCAATGGGTGACATGACTTGTGAGTATGCAGGCCATGGAAGAACTGGGACATTTTCAGCTTTCAGGAATTGTGTAGAGATCCTTGCGACATGGGGCCATGCATTATCATGCTGGAACATGAGGTGATGGCGGCGGATGAATGGCACGGCAATGGGCCTCAGGATCTTGTCACGGTATCTCTGTGCATTCAAATTGCCATTGATAAAATGCAATTGTGTTTGTTGTCCGTAGCTTATGCCTGCCCATACCATAACCCCACTGCCACCATGGGACACTCTGTTCACAACGTTGACATCAGCAAACAGCTCGCCCACACGACCCAATACACGTGGTCTGCGGTTGTGATGCCGGTTGGACGTACTGTCAAATTCTCTAAAACGATGTTGGAGGTGACTTATGGTAGAGAAATGAACATTACATGCTCTGGCAACAGCTCTGTTGGACATTCCTGCAGTCAGCATGCCAATTGCACGCTCCCTCAAAACTTGAGACATCTGTGACATTGCGTTGTGTGACAAAATTGCACATTTTAGAGAGGCCTTTATTGTTCCAAACACAAGGTGCACCTGTGTAATGATCATGCTGTTTAATCAGCTTCTTGATATGCCGCACCTGTCAGGTGGATGGATTATCTTGGCAAAGGAGAAATGCTGACTAACTGGGATGTAAACAAATTTGTGCACCAAAATTGAGAGAAATAAGGTTTTCGTGCATATGGAACATTTCTGTGATCTTTTATTTCAGCTCATGAAACATGTGACCAACACTTTACATGTTGCTTTATATTTTTGTTCAGTGCATTTCAACCCAGGTCTGTGTGAGAGTGGGGTTGTTCAGTGTCCATATTTCAAGTTCAAAGGTCTCTTTCTCTGTTCAAGTCTCACTTTTACTCCTTCCTACTTTTATTTAAAGAGAGAGAGAACCCTACCACCGTAACCACACAGAGCACACTGGTAAACGATGTACTTTGCTAATTACACATTCATTTAAAAGTCTCAGAGTTGCCGATAAATTACAGCGTTTTTATGAGCGGTTTATGGAGGAAACTAGGGGTAGTGGTTAGTAGTCAATGTGTTGCTGTATGTAATTAAAGGGTTATGGATGCTGAAATTAGTTTTCATCATGACAGGGGCTGATGTTGTACTATTGATTCCTAAATGTATTGTTTGCAACCTATTCATTAACAATGTACTATTTGACCATGTAAATACTATAAACGTAATAAAATAAACTCTCTGGTCTACATCAGCAGGTAGAATCAAGAAAAAAGTAAATATCAGATATGCTTGTAATCAACAGAATACACTGACAGCTGAAAGAGGTGAGAGGAGAGGCGCCTCCTACCTGTGACCCTGTAGAATAGCGCCCTGGTGGGCGGGAGGCTGAGCTCTTCCCAGAGCCAATGGAACTCTCCACACTCTTTCCACTGCAGCAGTGGGTACGCAGACACTTCCCGTACTCCTTACGCACCTGTGAACCACACACACACACACACATAGACGACACACAGACACACACACATACACAGACACACACATTCCCATTCAGACGCAGATAACCAAACAACTTTTTTGTGATACTTTCAGAAAATAAATACTGTAGTTAATAACTACAATACTTTCTAGTTTTCTACAAATGAATAAGCCATGTCATGTAAAATTGTGAGATAACCACTTCACATTTTATGTGTTCTGAGTCGAGTGAAATTAGCCTGCACCCAATCTGAAATGCTTTAACCAACTCTTCTTAGTAAGATGAGCTGACTTGTATCAAGCTTCTCAGACTAGGAGTGCTGATTTAGGATCGGTTTTGCCTTTAGATCCCAATTAATAAGATTACATGGACAGAGGGGACCTGATCCCAGATCAGCACTCCTTCTCAGAGATACTTTTTTAATACGGGCACTGGACCACAAGGTTAGTGGGAAACACGTACCTTCTTCTGGAGGACACAGTGGAAGATGAAGATGAACATGCCCTGCAGGGAGTTAAAGATGGTGAAGAGGTAGGCCATGATGACCGTGCTCTCGTTGACGTACATCAGGCCGAAGGCCCAGGTCAGGCCCAGCAGACAGAGCAGAGCGATGGCCCCAATCACCCACGATCTGGAAACACAACATGGAGACAATGTCAACATTCTGGACATTCTCAGAACTGACACAGGAGTACCAAATGAACTCGATAACTTTTGAGAAGTTGCGTGCCCTCAGTTTTTGTTGGCTGTAATTTCCTAAAGAAATGAATGTCAATTATGCTCATCACCAACTACCGCCAGTTATGATCGTGGACTAGGGCCCACATTCTGTCTGACAGATACCAGTGCATACATATAGCTGGTTACAAATATTAGTTTACAGTACAATCTGTAACTATGTAAATATGTAATTGTCCCATGAAGCTAAAGATGGAAATGCACAAGGAGAGTAAATGTTTTGTTGGAGCGAAATTACAAGGTCTTAGTCTGATTCTACATTTTAAGACCAGATACAGGAAGTGGTGACTGTTCTTAGACTTCCCACTCAGCATTCTGTCAGTATCGTACAACTCAGAAGGAACATCGTGACTAGCTGTTCACTGAAGAAATTTTAAAACAAACTTTCAGGTTGAAAAAGTACATATTGCAAGAATGAGTTTTCAGACTTCCCCCATTCTATTTGCGACCTTGGTCTGGTAACATTCTGATGAATCAAAAAGAGAAACACAGGTGAAAATAAATGTCCACCAGACAGACAAAAGTACTGGATGAAGGGAAGGCAGGAGGGAGGAGAGAAATGAAGTGGAAAATCGACAGAGGAGACAAATCGACTAGAGATAAAATAAAAAGGAGTGAAATTGAATTTAATCTTGTTTTCGTCTTTTGTTATCGTTCGCTCCTAGGGGACACCTAGGATTTCTCTCTCTCTCGCCTTCTTTCAAGTGTTGCATCCATTACGTGTTTGAAAAGTAGCAGACCAATACACCAAAGAAATAGTGTTTAAAAATTGTGAAAATGGGAGACACACTATTACTATCTCAGGAGTAGCAGCAGTGGAACACTCTCTGATGAAAAGTCAAGTCAAGGTAACTCTCCAATATCAAATGAGTACTTGGAGTATACTGAATATGTACATTATAGTCTGTATGACCTCGGAGCTAGCATATAAGGCATAATCACTGGAAGTTAATTTGCATATGAACACATGTGAACACAGTATTTTGGATGTGGTGCCCGAGGGTTGTGCCAAAGGCCTTGACAGATAACGGAGCCCCGTGTAGCTCAGTTGGTAGAGCATGGCGCTTGCAACGCCAGGGTGGTGGGTTCGTATCCCACGGGGGGCCAGTATGAAAATTTATGCACTCACTAACTGTAAGTCGCTCTGGATAAGAGCATCTGCTAAATGACTAAAATGTAAATACTTATGCTAGTATAATCAGAAATACCTGTGCATTCAAAATCAAGGAACTTATGAAAACATAATAACTTTCTTCAAAGCTTGAATTACACAGTGCATGACTGCTTCTCTTGTAACAAACCGGGAGATTTGGTTCTGGGTTTGGAGATTCCTTCAAGAGAAGTGTACCTATTGTAGCTAATATTTTTTTTTTTTTAAGTGAGACGTGTGACTGTGTCTGTATGCATTCCCTATGATTTGACGGAGAGCTTCACTTAACATTTACTAAAGGCAGGAGGTGGTATAAACATTACTCATTATTTTGTTATGAGGAAATTAATGGTTAATGAAGGATGTCATAAATAGATGATAACTTGTCAATTTTAATCTTACTTGATCTCGGGTTCGTAATCTTCATAGCTGACAGGAATAATAAAAATTAATGAAAAACATAAAATCAATAATCAAACAAAACACCAAAACAAATATATTAAAAATATGATTTTGAAAACGACAGGCTTACATATACACACATAACCAAAAGTATGTGGACACCTGCACTTCGAACATCTCACTCAAAATCATGGGCATTAATATGGAGTTGTTCCCCCCTTTGCAGCTATAACAGCCCCCACTCTTCTGGGAAGGCTTTCCACTAGATGTTGGGACATTACTGTGGGGACTTGCTTCCATTCAGCCACAAGAGTATTAGTGAGGTCAGGCACTGATGTTGGGCAATTAGGTCTGGCTTGCAGTCGGTGTTCCAATTCATCCCAAAGGTGTTAGATAGGGTTGAGGTCAGGGCTCTGTGCAGGCCAGTCAAGTTCTTCCACACCGATCTTGACAAACCATTTCTGTATGGACCTCGCTTTGTGCACGGGGGCATTATCATCCTGAAACAGGAAAGGGCCTTCCCCAAACTGTTGCCACAAAGTTGGAAGCACAGAATCGTCTAGAATGTCATTGTATGCTGTAGCGTTAAGATTTCCCTTCACTGGAACTAAGGGGCCTTGCCCGAACCATGAAAAACAGCCCCAGACCATTATTGCTCCTCCACCAAACTTGACAGTTGGCACTATGCATTCAGGCAGGTATTATTCTCCTGGCATCAGCCAAACCCAGATACGTCTGTCGGACTGGCAGATGGTGAAGCGTGATTCATTACTCCAGAGAACGCATTTCCACTGCTCCAAAGTCCAATGGCGGCGAGCTTTACAACACTTCAGCCGATGCTTGGCATTGCGCATGGTGATCTTAGGCTTGTGTGCGGCTGCTCGGCCATGGCAACCCATTTTCATGAAGCTTCCAACTAACAGTTATTGCGCTGACATTGCTTCCAGAGGCAGTTTGGAACTCGGTAGTGTGTGTTGCAACCGAGGACAAACAATTTTTACGCGCTACGAGCTTCAGCACTCAGCGGTCCCGTTCTGTGAGCTTGTGTGGCCTACCACTTTGCGGCTGAGCCGTTGTTGCTCCTCGACATTTCCACTTCACAATAACAGCACTCACAGTTGACCGGGGCAGCTCTAGCTCTTGTCTATGGCGATTGCATGGCTGTGTGCTCGATATTATACACCTGTCAGCAACGGGTATGGCTGAAATAGCCAAATCCACTAATTTGAAGGGGTGTCCACATACTTTTGTATATACAGTGTAGTTAAAGGAGAGGGCTCAGGAGGACTACCACAGACACATAAACATAAAGACAAACAGGAAATATTCAAAAATGGCTGATCAAATAAAACACTATACCGATTACATTGAATACTCTTGAAGCCAGAATCCTCTTGCTCTCAGTCGTATTTGTGAGTGAGTTACAGGTGCTAAACCTAATTATCTTGGTTCACAAGCGTCTCCACTCCTCAATAAATACGGGTGGGCCTAGTGTCCGCCTCAATCGCCTGTAATAAATGGACCAGGTGCGATGGCAAAAATAAATGATTTATGAAATTACTGGGGCCAACCATTAAACATCATTTTCCCAGGTCTATCTTAATGACCTGCTGGGAGAGGCACTTCATCAAGCTGATTGCCCCCTGGACGGTCAGAGAGACAACGAGGGTAAAAAAACAAGAAAAAATAGGGAAATATTGACCTGGAACTATGGACATTTTGCAGAGGGATGGGCGACTCCAACAGTGGGAATTGGATAGAGATGCCGGAGGACATAATACACGTATTAGGGGGGACATGAACAGGATATAAATAGATTATTTATCCTATCTTTCCTGGTTTGTATATTTCAGCGTAATGAGTATTGGATCTGGTCGCCGTTGCTTTTCACATCTGCAACTAAGAATTTATGATGATTGTAATTTTCCCGTGAGGGCTATCTTGGAAGAATATGGTTCAAGGTAGCAGATATCCCCATCAACCAGTACCTCCTGCTTTCACTCACTCCGGAAATTTACTTTTTATGAAGCATTTGGGCTTGTTATTTAAAAATGCCTTTCAAAAGTGCATAATTTATTCCTGCATTTTATTATTATTTTTTATTTATTTTTAGTTGAAAAACTCTCCTACTTAATTCCATACCACTTTCAGTCCTACAGACCCTGGCTCATTTCCCAAAGCTGAAGTAGCTCCCGCTGAGCCGGAGAATACCCTCGCAATGATGCCACTCGAGCGACACGCTCAATGGTTCCACCGCTGCAAAAAGAGCACTTGTGCGCTTTCACCGGAAAACGAGGGAAAAGTGTTCACTGTGTTAATTGTCGGGTATAAATATAAAAAATGAAAAGAAGTTGAGGAGTAAAGTGTTCTAATACAACAACCACATTAAATTGGCACCAATTTCCTTTTTGAAAAGAGACAAAAGAGACGATTCTGAGAGGTGATATTCATTTAAAAGCTGATCGCAATTGGTCAATTGAGTCGCCTTTCACCTCGGCATAAAGGAGTCTCATTAGCTAGTTGAAAGGAAATAAGAAATGCTGTGATCTACTCAGCAGGATGCTAATTGTTTAACTAAAGCTATGCATCTGAAGAAATGTGAATTACCTGAAATTGTTTACTTCAGATATCAATTTGAAGCGTTTGATGCAGGAACAGAATCATTTTTAAAGCAACGATACCATCTAATTAGCATATTCCTTCAGGGTCTATTGTAGGGGGATTCCTCAACATGTAGAGAACTCCACACTTTCTCACTTTATTTGCTATGAGGCATATACAGTACATCTACTCACAGTGCTTTTTAACAGTCATGAAAAAGTGCATATTTCTAAGTTTCTCAGCATCTTGTGGACTGCAGTCATTAACGCTCAGTCATTTCCCAGACATAGGGTTCGACAAAGTTTAGTAAACGTTTGAGTAAGAGAAGAGAACAACAAAGCTCAATCTTAGAGTACCAATACTAGTGGGGTCAAAATACAACGGGTTACGCCAACACAGCACACCACAAACAGATGAGGAATTGCTCAACTACTGCCACAAAGAGTACTATTTCTAAAGGGAAGGGCAATGGGGACCACACACAATACAGTATATGTGAAGATATAATAGTGTAGTCCTCTGTAGAAATATGTTACATCTTACCAGTGCCATTCCACAATAATAATTCCATCATAATAATGATAGCTACCACGAGGAAGAAAATATGAAAGAAAAAGAATAAGAGGTTAAAAACAAAACAAAAATAATTCAATAAGACAGAAAGGGTACCATGCAGTACTAATCAAAAGAGGAGAAACTGAGTGAAAAGAGTCAGTGGAGAGCAAGAGAGAGAGAGAGAGGAACATGGAACATTCATCACAAAACAAAGCAACGTGATGAAATTCCGAACATGAAGTTTGACATCAAAAGATAAAGAACACAAAATATAAGAGAAAGATAAAAGAAACGTCCTACCTAATTACCACCTAGCAGGAGTCAGGACTTAAAAAAACTAAAATATCTCCATCAATTTTACAATCCAGTAACCCTCTCACTGTGTCGGACTCGAAAACAAACCATTTTTTTTATAATCAAACAACTGATTCTTCGTAGCAGCCTAAGTTGTTAGTAACACCCTACATTGTTAGTAACAGCCTAAATTGTTACTAACACCCTAAATTGTTACTAACACCCTAAATTGTTAGTAACAGCCTACATTGTTAGTAACAGCCTAAATTGTTACTAACACCCTAAATTGTTACAAACACCCTAAATTGTTACTAACAGCCTACATTGTTACTAACACCCTACATTGTTACTAACACCCTAAATTGTTAGTAACAGCCTACATTGTTACTAACAGCCTAAATTGTTTGTAACAGCCTACATTGTTAGTAACAGCCTAAATTGTTAGTAACAGCCTAAATTGTTACTAACAGCCTAAATTGTTAGTAACAGCCTAAATTGTTACTAACACCCTAAATAGTTAGTAACAGCCTACATTGTTAATAACAGCCTACATTGTTAGTAACATCCTAAATTGTTAGTAACAGCCTAAATGGTTCAGAACTTGAAGATTTGGAACTAATGTCCATTGAAAAGTAAACAACAGTTTGGTTCTCAAAGTAGCAGAAGCCTAGGCCTATTACTTTGTCCCATATTTGTGAACCACGTTTGTTTCCGTAGCCATGTTTTGACAAACTGTCAGGGTAGAGGGGAGGCATTGGACATATTGACCATGTCTGCACCCCAAATGGCACCCTATTCCCTTTATAGTGCACTACTTTTGACCAGGGTTCAGAAGGCTCTGGTCAAAAGTAGTGCACAAGAATAGGGTGCCATTTGGGACGTAGTCCTGGTGAATGAGATACATAAATCTAGAGGTAGGTCTATCAGATGTCAGAGCTGGGAGAGAAGGGGTCGTGACATTTATGTTGTGGTCTGAGAGACAGTCCACAGGTAAGGTTTCTGATTGGCCAAGGGAGGCTAGTGTGATAAATCCTATAATGCAGAGAACAGACGCTAGTCAATATTCTCTCCACAGACAAACAAGGCAATGCATCTAAAAGGAACCATCTATAGCTCATTCACAGTATTCTTAGATGAAATCGTAACACTTGCTTGATAAACGGCTAGGGGGAGTTCAAAATACTGTCTTTACTAAACTTTAAGATGTAAACACTGTTTGTGTTACTTATAACTGATCAAATTATCCCATTATAAAACTGGTAAACATTTTAAAAAATGGTGCGCTTAAATGTTTCCATAGTCGCCTTTAAAAACACTCAGTTGGTGATGATTATCAACTCAATAGCCTGTTAGGTTCAAAATCAGGTCACAGTATCAACAGCTGTTGTCAACAGTGTTAGCACTAACATGGTTGACCTACAATATATAGGATCTCAATTTGAGCCAGTTTGCTACAGCAGGAAAATAATCCTGCAGCAAGAGGAAATGTGAATTATTATGTGGATTATAATAATAGACATTTTTGTAGGGTTTGATACTTTTTTCGTAAGGGAAAATCAAGTCAGAAATTTCAAAGTGGAAATTACAAACTTCAGAAGACTTTTTAAACCTCAAATACACTACAAGTTTAAAAAGTCCTGCATTGCAGGAAAGTTCTCCTGTAACAGGGTGCTCAAATTAAGATCCTAGAATGAAACAAAAACAAGCTAAACTGATGGTCATTCTTGCTCTAATAATTGCCCACAGTCGCAGAGACACGACAGTATTCACGGCCCATTATTACATACAATCATATTTACAAACCTCATTTGAATTGGTTGTTATTGAGTCGCAGATGTATGCGCAGCTCTGGGCTTTGAACTCTGTCGCACCAACATGTCTCAGACTGCTATCAATGCTATCCAACAGATTACTATTGATTCTGATACAGACAGTCCTGTCCAGTCCAGTGTTTACTCAGCTCTCCCTTCAGCTCAGGATTACAATTCAGACAGGGATGTCACTCGGAGTTCACAGAGCAGACATCCTCTGAAAAACTAGCCTCAACACCTGCTAGAATGCGAACTATAATGTGTGTGTGTGTGTGTGCATGGGAAGAAAGAGAGAAAGAGTGTATTCGTGAGAAAGAGTGTGACTGTGTGTGGGGTGTGTGGCGGGGTGTGTAAAGTATGTTTGCGTGTGTGTGCGTTTGTGTGTGTGTGTATGTATGTATGTGCGCACTTGCTGAGAGTACTAGGTCAGCAGAGGCTCACTCCACTCTGACAAAAGCAGTGACAAGACATTAGAGATGATGCCACTAGTATCTCAGCCATAAAACACACTGATGCCACCAGTGTCTTCAAACAGGGGGGAAAACATAGAAAATATCTTTATCCATCAGTAGGAAATAAGACTGGTTGACAGAGGCAGACAAAGGACTTTAGCCCAGCCACAAAATAAGTCTACCCTGACACCTGGTTGGACTTACCCTAACTCAACACCACAAAAATGCTGTGTCATTGTATTGACTTGGTTCCTATCGGAGAAAAGGCCCCACTGTGTGTCATTGTGCACGAATGTAATGTTAAACACCACCTTCTTCCAAATGACCTTCAATTACTATTACATCACATAACGAACACATAACACCAGCAGAGATGGGCATGAAATACAAATATGATTCAAATTTAAATTAACTAAGTCTAGGAATGACCAAACCTTCAACATTCTATCCAATCTCACATTCTAACCCAATTGTTATTGTGGTGATATCACAATAGATGGTTAATTTGTTTTCACAAAGCACAGTGAGTCACAAGTCATTGACTGTTCTCTCTGCTGCTGCACGGCAAGCGGTACCGGAGTGCCAAGTCTAGGTCCAAAATGCTCCTTAACAGCTTCTACCCCCAAGCCATAAGACTGCTGAACAATTAATCAAATGGCCACCCGGACTATTTACATTGACCCCCAGTGCTGCTACTCGCTGTTTATTATCTATGCATAGTCACTTTACCCCTACCTACATGTAAAAATTACCTCGACTAACCTGTACCCCTGCACATTGACTCGGTACCGGTACCCCCTGTATATAGCCTCGTTATTGTTATTTTATTGTGTACTTAAAAAATATATATATACTTTATATACATCACATAAGACTGAAATATAACAAAACAGTTTGACATAGAAACACCGGATTTTCGGTGTTTGAAAAAAATAATATTGATTCATTATGAAATTATGAAAAATATGAATAACATTCCACCCTTGAGGCCACTAGAGGGCGATTTGGTCATTTGACTGCAGGGAAGGGCTACCAGTGGGCTTTATAATGTCATTCATATTTTCATATCCTGAGTGGCAGGGTGCGCGCGCGCACGCAAACAAACACTCCCTTTTATGAATATTCATCTGTGTGTTAACGGATGCCGACAGGTCAGGTTAATTCCACCAGATTGTCTCTTGGCCTTTTCCGCCGCCGACGAGCGTGCACTTCAGATAATGAAGGACGCCTGCCGGAATACCAGTCTCATTTTAACCCTTGCCTCCCCTCCATGACACAGCCTTTAGTGAAACTGAGAGTTATGAACCTGGAGGGCTGCACTTCCTGTATCTCCGCATGGCCATTCTCACCCTTCAGATGTGTTTTGAGGGGTTCACAAATAACACAGGCTTATTATGATGTACATAAGATCAATCGTTCCTTATAATATCTTTGTTATGGCAGCTTTTATGCAAAGGTGACTTACAGTTAACATATGTTCAGTATATGTGGCCCATGCGGGAATTGAACCCACAAGCACCATGCTCTAACACACTGAGCCATCGGAACCTGGTCTGCCATATTAGGTTACCACTAGCATGTACAGTACCAGCGTCAGTCTGGAAGGTGCCAATGCCTGGAAGGACACGTGACTTACTTGATGTTGTCGAGGCAACCCGAGTCGGGTTTGAGGATGGCGGTGTGGTGGAACATCTTGTACAGCGCGATGCCTAGGAATATCACGTTGAGCTGGGAGAGTGGGGTGAAAGAAAGCAGAGAGCATAGCTGAGATGGAGTTTTTGTGTTGTAGATGATGTTTTCATTCATTTTTAAGCCAGGGAGACATTGTTAGAGCTAGTTGAATATGTAGTGTAGGAACAAGATGCAGTTTCCCACTTTGCCAAATAGAGCACAAAATTATATGAACACCTACCACGTATGCACTGAGTGTACAAAACATTAGGAACACCTGCTCTTTCCATGAGACTGACCAGGTGAATCCAGGTGAAATCTATGATCCCTTACTGATGTCACTTGTTAAATCCACTTCAATCAGTGTAGATTAAATAGTAATGGACCAGCGGTAGGGCCATCTCAAAATAGAATGGCCCCCTCAAAATGACACCAATTGAATTGTAACTCATAATACACTGTGCTGGGGAAGTGACATTCACCTAATTGAGCCACTGTCTGAATCAACTAGTCATTTTCCACCTCTCCAAAAAAAAAAAAATCCTAGGGACTACGATTCCAGACGGAGTCAGCCTTTCTTAGTGGAAGTATTCTGGTTGTTACACAGAAAAAGCATGAGTCATGAAGTGGAAATAATAGTTTTGTGAAGGATTTCTGAACATTTGATCGTGTATAAAGAGCATTAGACATGCATTTTGGGTTTTGTAAAGATCTAAGTTAGGAGTTAACCCGTGAATGTTTGCATGTGTGTGTTCATGTGCACGTGTGTATTTTACCTCAGCCTATACTTATGCAGCTTTGGAGTGCCTGTTTGTGTGCCTGTGTCGGAGTGCCTGTGTCGGAGTCGTTGGGGCCTGTTTGTGGGCTGGTCGGAGTCGTGTGGTGCGTGTTGCCTGTGTCGGAGTGCCTGTGTCGGAGTGCCTGTTTGTGTGCCTGTGTCGGAGTGCCTGTGTCGGAGTGCCTGTTTGTGTGCCTGTGTCGGAGTGCGTGTCGGAGTGCCTGTTCGGGTGCCTGTGTCGGAGTGCCTGTGTCGGAGTGCCGTGTCGGAGGTCCTGTTTGTGTGCCTGTGTCGGAGTGGCCTAGTGTGGGACGGTACGAAGCTTTTGTGTGCTGTGTCGGTGGCGTTTGTGACATTGTCGGTGCGTTAGGGCATTAGCAGTGCTTGGTTTTGTGAACTTGGTATGCTGTTGTTAGCCTGTGTCGAATGTGATTGTGGTGCCTGTTCAGGATGCGTGTTTGTGCCTGCTCAGAGTGACTTATGGTCCGGTCAGAGTGCCTGTTTGTGTGCTGTGTCGAGGCCTGTTGTGCCGGGAGTGCCTGTTTGTGTGCCTGTGTCGGAGTGCCTGTTTGTGTGCCTGTGTCGGAGTGCCTGTTTGTGTGCCTGTGTCGAGTGCCTGTTTGTGCTGTGTCGAGTGCCTGTTTGTGTGCCTGCTGAGTGCCTGTTGTGCCTGGTCGGAGTGCCGTTTGTGTGCCTGTGAGTGCCTGTTGGGTGCCTGTGTCGAGTGCCGTTTGTGTGCCTGTGTCGGAGTGCTGTGCGATTGTGCCTGTGTCGGATGCCTTGTGTGGAGTGCGTTTGTGTGTCTGTGTGCTGTGTCGGAGTGCCTAGTGCCTGTGTCGGAGTCCTGTTTGTGTGCCTGTGTCGGAGTGTGTCTCTGTCTGTGTCGAAGTGCCTGTTTGGTGCACTGTTCAGTGCAGTTTGTGTGCTGTTCAAGTCTGTGTGGTCCTGTGTGGAGCTGTTTAGTGTGTCTTCTCTGGAGGCATGTTGTGTGCCGGTCGGAGGCCATAGTTTGGGACCTGTGCAGAGTGCCGTTGATTGCCTTGTCAGTGCCTTGTCATGTAGATGCCGATGAGTGGCTGTGTCCTGCGCGGGTGGTTATGTGTGCATGTGCGAGTGCCTGTTTTGCAGTTGAGCGCTTGTCAGAGTGCTGTTAGTATGGTAGTGTAGATGTACTGTTGTGATGCTGTGTCGACCATGTATTGTGCCAGGTGGAGTGCCTTTGAGTGCCTGAGTAGGTACATGCGATGTGGCCTGTGTGGAGGCGTGTGTGCTGTGAGAGTGCTGTGTGGCGTGAGGGAGAGGTGTGGGGTAGAGAGGGTTTGTTGCCTGTGTCGAGTCCTGTGTGTGCCTGTTCGTAGTGCCTGTTTGTGACTGGGGAGTGTTACGTCGATCTGTGCCAGTCAAGGTAACGGATAGTATAGCAGTAGTCTTTAGTGGAAGTTCTGGGTGAAAATCAATCATAATCGTAGAGAGGCATCACTTGGCCACTGAATTCTAAGTGGAGTTCCTCTCTCCCTCACCAAAGACATCTCTGTCAGCAGTCCGGCAAAGCGACTAACCGCAATACTTCACAATTCACATCCTCATCCATTTCCCCACCATGACACATGACCAGGAGTGGCTTATACCCAACGGTGTTACTGAGAAAAGTGGATGTTATGTTCTCTCTGGACCATTGAAGCAGCGACCTGGGGGGCTAAGTAGGGTTAATGAGATAGTACGGGAGTGGGGAAGTAGGGACGCTTACCATAATTATCAAGGTTGCCGGTCCTATGAAACTCCAAATGAAGTAGGTGTCCAGACGAAGCCAGCACCTGGAGGGGAGGAAAGAGAGAGAGAGAGAGAGAGAGAGAGAGAGAGAGAGAGAGAGAGAGAGTATATCATTATGGAATATTATATGTAGAATATTATCATTATCCCCCGCTATATGAATAGAGAGAATGTATAAGAAGGAGAGAAGGGTACAATGAAGAAAGAGAGGGGGGAGGAAGAGAGAGAGAGAAGGGGGTGGGGTAGAGAGAGAGCGAGAGAGAGAGAGAGAGAGAGAGAGAGAGAGAGGTAAGGTGAGGCCGGCGCACAGGACATACATCAACATGGAGGCTGGAATGACAAAGAGAAATGAGCACTTCAAAAACACAGTGCCGCAAGGGGGTAGGAGAGTTATGACCATTGCATGAGGGTTTGGAGGGTGGGATTTTGGAGTTTCAGTGCCATAACTGCTTATAGGGTGTGATGGTCACAACAGAGTTATCAAAGGACTTTAAAAACTGTAAAGTGGCTCGTGGGTGAAGTTTCCCCTAGGTACAGGCCCCCTGAAGGTACAGGCCCCCTGAAGGTACAGGCCCCCTGAAGGTACAGGCCCCCTGAAGGTACAGGCCCCCTTCCCGATCCTAAACTTAAAGCTAGAACCTTAAATGCTACATCAATTTTTGGCCTTATAAATTAATTTCTATTTTTTTGTACCTTTATTTAACTAGGCAAGTCAGTTAAGAACACATTCTTATTTACAATGATGGCCTAATGATATATTCCCATTGATTATTATAACTTATAAATGCCTCATGAGCTTAGCTCAACACAAAATATACACTTTTCTTACTCCCATGTTTGTAAACAATGTCAATGTTAACAAAAAATATATAAAAAATAAAAATAAAAAAAACACTGTATAGCCTCAAAACATGGTTAAAATTAATTTATAATGTTGATCTCCTGGATGGTCAGTTCTTGCATCCATAGCTCTGTCTATGAATTTGAGAGTGGTAACATTTCTCCAGCCCCATCCCTCAGTGTTTTACCAAAACAGAGGTGGGTTGCCCACTTTGTTATTATTTCAACTGCGGATTCTAGCTTTAAACATTAGTGGGGAAAAAGCTCAACTTACCCAAGATCAGCATCTAAGGGCAACTTCACTCTACTTCTCTAATATGATCCCGTGTGCAGCACCTCCAGGCTGGTATGTTAACATGTTTATTAGGGTTGAGGTCCATTCCATATCAGGAATTGAATAGAATAGGACCACAGAAATACAATTCATGCTTGGAAAAGTTTGCACAGAAAATAATGGCAGGAATTCCATCCCCTTAATTGAATTCCATGCCCCACTCATTCCTTCAATTGAGTAAATTGAAATTGAACTCACACAACCATTAACCATATGCACACTTTTACCCTTTTCACACTATTGTGCCAACCCAAACCATACTATGTGGTCTTCGAATGCATTTCCTTTCACATTGAACTTTCCAACTCAATTCCAGCAACTATGGTGGATGTGTAACCAGGCCAGTGCAGCATGGCTCAGCTCAACTAGTGTGATAAGGCATATGGAGACACAGACGAAGTGTTCAACCTCATCATGACTCAGCGAAATGACGTTGCAACGAGATTACTATATCAACACATGCGCTTGCTTGACTTCTCCGGCAGGTAGTCTAGCGGTTAGGAGCGTTGGGTCAGTAACCGAAAGGTCGCTGGTTCGAATCCCTGAGCCGGCAAGGTGAAAAAACCTGACATTCTCCCCTTGAACAAGGCAGCTAAACCCCAACAGCAATTGCTCCATGTTCACCGATGACGTGGACGTCGATTAAGGCAGCCCCCTGCACCTCTCTGATTCAGAGGTATTGGGTTAAATGCGGAAGAGACATTTTGGTTGAATGCATACAGTTGTGCAACTGACTAGGTATCCCCTTTCCCATCACACCAATACAAGACATGGCAGTTACAGTACACTATTTGGCTGATTGAACTCAAATTGGCCCAGATATTATCACACAGGGGCAGATGCCAGATGAAGGCAATACTGGGACGATTAAAATGAAGTTGATTCATGACCTGCCAACCAAATTATTAATCGTTTCATCTCCGCCGCAGCTAGATAGACCTCCATTTTTGGCCATCTGAAATGACAGTTTCTTACTGTGTTGTTATTTGGACTGACAAATAGGCTAGATGGAAATGGCAACGAATTTACTGTAATTCAACAGCATTTTAAGGCAGATTGAGAAGATAGCACTTGGCTTCGGACAGTGCAGTCCGTACTCGAACACTAGAAGGAAATGCAACAATGCAACTGGAGATTTCATTATACTGTCACTTGTCACCAGTGTTCCCTCTAAACTGCGCAATAATTGCCAGCCCGCACGAGATTGAACTTCACTAAAATGTACACCATCTTTACTGGCTTTAAACAGATACATTTTTACATCTACTGTGGAAATTGGGATTGAATCAACATAATAACACTCCCTTTCAAAGCAAAAAAAAACAAATCTAACTTCAAGACTAAGTTGGTGGTTTTGATGCTGAGGAGCGCATCGCTGTAGCCTTGATCTATGTCATGGGTATAAGCGGTTTTACCCTCTGTCAGAGTAGCTAGCCTAGAAGAACATTTGAGATCACAGAGAAGAACCGTGTGTAGCTGCGTGTGCACATTAGTTAGTGAGTTTCTAGCCTGGTTATAGCTAATTTGGGTCAGCAATTAGGGAGTGATTGCTTCCTACAAGAGGACAAAACGTGACTTCGGAAACTATTCAGACCCCTTGACTTTTTCCACATTTTGTTACGTTACAGCCTTATTCTAGAATTGATTAAATAAATGTTTTTCCTCAGCAATCTACATGCCTATCAACAAAATATTTCCACATGGACATAGTTATAGCTGTTGACTTCTATGATATCGCCTGCAATAGCCAATATGTGGTGTTCAATGTAGGCCTACATTCCATGAGACTTTTTAAAAACGTTATGCACAGCTTGACATTAACCATTTTAGAACTTATGTTTTAGTTGTCTGAAAGCTCAAATCACTTTATAAAAATCAGAAATTATCGGTCTCATTATAGGACACCGGCCCTTTAACACACAAAAAACTATTTATCTGACTCGCTTTTTAATGACAGTTAGATACAGTGCATTTGGAAAGTATTCAGACCCCTTGACCTTTTCCACATTTTGTTACGTTACAGCCTTATTCTAAAATGGATTAAAGAGTTTTCTTTCCTCATTAATCTACACACAATACCCCATAATGACAAAGCAAAAACAGGTTTTTAGAAAATGTTGCAAAGTTATTAAATATCACATTTACGTAAGTATTCAGACCCTTTACTGAGTACTTTGTTGAAGCACCTTTGGCAGCGATTACAGCCTCGAGTCTTCTTGGGTATGACGCTACAAGCTTGGCACACCTGTATTTGTGGAGTTACTCCCATTCTTCTCTGCAGATCCTCTCAAGCTCTGTCAGGTTGGATGGGGAGCGTTGCTGCACAGCTATGTTCAGGTCTCGCCAGAGATGTTCGATTGGGTTCAAGTCCGGGCTCTGGCTGGGCCACTCAAGGACATTCAGAGACTTGTCCCGAAGCCACTCCTTGTCTTGGCTGTGTGCTTAGGGTCGTTGTCCTGTTGGAAGATGAACCTTTGCCCCGCTCTGGAGCAGGTTTTCATCAAGGAGCTCTCTGTACTTTACTCCATTCCTCTTTACCTCGATCCTGACTAGTCTCCCAGTCCCTGCCGCTGAAAAACATCCCCACAGTGTGATGCTGCCACCACCATGCTTCACCATAGGGGTGGAGCCAGGTTTCCTCCAGACGTGATGCTTGGCATTCAGGCCAAAGAGTTCAATCTTGGTTTCATCAGACCAGAGAATCTTCTTTCTCATGGTTAGAGTCTTTAGGTGCCTTTTAGAAAACTCCAAGCGGGCTGTCATGTGCCTTTTTGTCTGGCAACAATACCATAAAGGCCTGATTGGTGGAGTGCTGCAGAGATGGTTGTCCTTCTGGAAGGTTCTCCCATCTCCACAGAGGAACTCTAGAGCTCTGTCATAGTGACCATTGGGTTCTTGGTCACTTCCCTGACCAAGGCCCTTCTCCCCCAATTGCTCAGTTTGGCCAGACGAAGAGTCTTGGTGGTTCCAAACTACGTCCATTTAAGAATGATGGAGGCCACTGTGTTCCTGGGAACCTTCAGTGCTGCAGAAATGATTTGGTACCCTTCCCCAGATCTGTGCCTCGACACGATCCTGTCTCGGAGCTCTACGGACAATTCCTTCGACCTCATGGCTTGGTTTTTGCTCTGACATGCACTGTCAACTGTGGGACCTTTTATAGACAGGTGTGTGCCTTTCCAAATCATGACCAATCAATTGAATTTACCACAGGTGGACTCCAATCAAGTTGTAGAAACATCTCAAGGAGGATCAATGGAAACAGGATGCACCTGAGCTCAATTTTGAGTTTCATAGCAAAGGGTCTGAATACTTATGTAAATAAGGTATTTCTGTTTTAAATGTTTTATACATTTGCAAAATGTCTTAAAACCTGTTTTCACTTTGTCATTATGGGGTATTGTGTGCTGATGACTTTTTATTTAATCAATTTTAGAATAAGCCTGTAACGTAAGTAAATGTGGAAAAAGTCAAGGGGTCTGAATACTTTTTGAAGGCACAGTAAAGAAAATCACGATAGTTGTAATGGAAACAGGACCTTTCGGTACAATTTTGTAAACGTACACAGATTATTTGTTCGTTTGACATGGTGCAATCTTTGTGTGTCGGTAAAATGTATTATGTGAGAAATATAGGTGGAAATGCCTTTATGCGCAAATATTGATATAATATCCATCATATCGAATTAAACTTGGAGTCACGCCATCACATGGTGTGTGCTTCCTCCCACTACAACGCAGGAAACCACACAGTTTATTAGGTTACAGAAGTCATGGCTAGAAGGGAACCAGTCTTTGTGAAATTAACGTCAAAAGCTAAAATGTTTTGCATTTTAGCTAACCCTAACCCTTTTCCTAACCTTACATATCCTAACCTTAACCTAATTCACCTAACCAGCTACGTTAATTATCCTAACCTGATGTGTAAGTTCTCCTAACCTGCTACGAAACGTAAAATATGACGTTAATTTGACAAAAGCTTGATCCCTTCTAGCTATGACCGGCTACAGATGATATAAGTTATGATGAACTTCACAGGGTGGTGAAAGTGCACGGTATGAGCTTGACGCTCCTTTCCAATAAATGTTGAGGGTGTAATTCTGGTGACATATGGCACCGGTCTATGGACCCTGGTCAAAAGTAGTGCATATAGGGAATAGAGTGCCATTGGGACATAACCAGTGAGTGTTACTTTGGTGTTACTGGGACTTGACAATTCTCCCCGTGGCTCTTATCAAGGGATGAGAGGAGACGATGTAAACGCACGCGCACATCAAAGGCTTTGTAAGTAGTCATTATAATATGCTGAAAGCTCTATTGTTTATTTTTTTCCATCTTTTTCCAGATCACAGAAAAGCTGATTTATTTAAAGGGGAAGGGCTGTCATTTCTGGAGAATACTCGAGCCAGCAATCCTCCGACTATCTGCCTGTTCTCCTCTCCAGTCATGTCAGGGTTGTGTTTTGCTTTTTGAGCGTATCTATTTTTCCCATGTGCCGGCCTGACACTCAGCATTGGCGGCAGCCTCCTCAGATCCTCTTGGTTACGACGCAAAGAGAATAAAAAGCCAGGTCCTCTGTTTCCCGCTAAGACAGAGTAGCGTTTTGTCTCCCAACGTCTAGTGTTGGGTGCCCGTATCGGTGACACTGATACACAGCAACTTGACACATTAGTTTAGCTCAAAGAGACACTTTGGAGAGAGGGGAGAGAAATGTGCTACCGAGACGAGAGAATCTAAAGAGACAAAGTCACGCGTGAGGACATGAGGGGCTCCAGGTATGCCAAGGTGTCTAAACGCAGTTTATCTGTTGCAAAATGGATAGAGATGCTCTCAAAATCATAAACTGTCATTATTAACGTCAGATAAATGATCAAGTAAATGATTTAGGGTGAAATGTGAGCTATGTGGCTTTTTGGTAAGGCATTATTGCAATGTTGTCATTTGTAAAACTGAGTTCACCTCATGGTATATCATTTACAGTAGAATAGTATATGCCCCAAACCTAGGGCTTTTTTAAATGAATATCTTCACTTTCCATACACATATATTGTCTCCAACAACTAACACAATCTAGCAATATAGTCTAAGAATACTCTGGCAATGTAGCCTACACAAATTTAGTAACAGATTGTGGAATCAATTGGAACATGCAGCTATTCAAGGAACATAAACACTTATAACACACCTACTCCTGAGCAAATTAGCCCCATAACAGCCAAAATGGAACTACGCCAGGTCATGTAACACAAAAAAATGCGTTTCATTATGTTCTCTGTCACTGGACTCACTTAGAGACTGTGACTTAGCAAAATATCAGTGGCCATTTTGAATTCTTAAAGCGTGACACTTTCTCCTCAGTTAACAGGACAACCTACGGTCATGTTTTTATCGCTCAAATGACTCTATTCCGATTCTAAGTGGAATATTGAGCTGTGCGATGCCCAAACCCCTCCCCCTCTAGCTGAGCATGTCACGCCCTGTCCCGTCCCCCATCTCTCACGGCTGCGTATAAATTGTTCCACCGGTGGCAGGCAGTGGCAGCTATCGCCCCAATCCATCACCAAGAACTGTGGCTCCTGCTACCCACAAATGCACTGTCTAGTGTGTGTGTGTGTGTGTGTGTGTGTATGCACATACGTGTGCATGTGTGACTGTTGTAACTCTAGGGGGTCACAGGATCTCCATGTTCACCCCCACAGACCATCTTTGCCCAACAGGCCTTCATATATCGTGAGTCATAAACCTTTCAGGAACTGACTTATGTCTTCTTGCTCTTAGGAGATAGCTGACCAGTCACACCAGCTCGAAGGAAAAGGTTGAACTCTGACCCCTCAGGAGACACGACCGAGGTCATGTGGTGTGTCTAACAACTGTTTCATTGGTTCAACATCCCATGATGTTGGGTGGGAAAACACCCAACTTTCTCTCAGAAGAACTTCCGTAACACAGGCAAACAATAAAGTATAGACTTTTATCCCTACTCTTAAATACATTTGAAATGACAACGTATTACGTGAAGGTATTGTTAATAAATATGTGTACTTTTGTATATTTATTCTGTAATTGCAATATTTAGTATCTTCTAAATACATGTTAGTACAAATTAAATCAAATTTTATTTGTCACATACGCCGAATACAACAGGTGTAGACCTTACCATGAAATGCTTACTTACAAGCCCTTAACCAACAATGCAGTTCAAGAAATAGAGTTAAGAAAATATTTACTAAATAAACAAAAGTATAAAAAATTTAATAAAATCATAAAGTAACACAAGAAAATTACACAACAATAACGAGGCTATTTAGCAGAAGCTCTTATCCAGAGCGACTTACAGTTAGTGAGTGCATACATTTTCCATACTGGCCCCCCGTGGGAATCGAACCCACAACCCTGGCGTTGCAAGCGCCATGGTCTACCAACTGAGCTACAGGAGGCCTGTCGCCGAGTCAATGTGCGGGGGTACAGGTTAGTCGAGGTAATTTGTAAAGTGACTATGCATATGACATATCTGGTATCATTGTGATCTAGAATACAAACACTTTGGAAACAATTGCATATGTATAATAAAGGCATGATAGCCTTTTAGTAATGATGTCTGATTTACAAGTCACTCTGACTCGAAGAGGGATGGGGAACTCCTCATCCCCCATGATCTCTGAGGCCATCGGAAAAACAAATCACACCCACCCTAATAAAAACTGCTCTCTGGCAGTTGGAAATTCAGTTGAAAACTCAACAGTTGAAAAGTCAGCCAAAAGACAGACGAATGGAGAATTGAATCGACTTGGAGGAGAAAGAGACTTGTCTTGCAGGAGGGAGAGAGGAGAGTAGGCATGACAAAGAGCTGATACAGAACTCTAGGAAACGGCCTCTGAACTAAGAGAGGTACGTCTTCCTCACCAAGAAACGGAGATGGAACCCTTACCAGGAAGGAAGAAAAATGGGCAGACCAGTTACATTATGCTGAAGAACGAATGGCCCACAAGAGTGGGGTCTTGGACATCTTCATACCATGTGTGCAACACAAAGATGACTGCGCCAATAGACGGTACCGACGCAGGTCAGAGAGAAAGGGAGAGAGAGAGAGAGAGAGAGAGAGAGAGAGAGAGAGAGAGAGAGAGAGAGAGAGAGAGGATCTGACCATTGACTCAGTAAATATGACGACATCCTCTGTGTTTCCTCCTTGATTCGGCATTGCAAAATTATAATCTTAATAGATCAATCATAGTCTCTGTTTCTTTTCATTGTGTGTTTCTTTGGTGTAACAATACATCCTATGCTTTGACAAATACTGTCTCTAATACAATTAAAGATCTTACGTATCCTTTAAGATTGTTGATATGAGACTTGATGAACGAAGGCTAAACTACTAATCAGTTTCAAGTTAATTGTTTTCTTTGAATTAAAACAATTAATGGTGCCCTTATACAACGTTATTAATTTGAAACAGTAGGCAAATTAATGGCTTAATGAAGTCACCAATTATCACCAATTATCAGACCACTAAAGTTCCTACAATGACATGTATCATACATCTTGTGAAAACTGCTGATACTGGTTTCCATTGTTTTTCAGATTGGCTACCAATTTAGTGAGAGAGGAACAGTTTCTCTCTATTTCTTCTCTGTGTCATTGTTAGGAATGCTGGTTTATATTTCAGAGACGTGCGAGAGAAAATCAAATAATTTCTCCAGTATCTTCAGCGGGGAAACATAGGAGCGTATGACGATTACTTTCTCGACGTCTCCCTTTCTCGCCCCGGCTCTAGTGCTTCATCTCCTCGCTCCAATCTCTCCATCTATTGCTCCCACGCTCAGTTATACAGGAGTTATGTGAATGGTGAAGACGGTAACCACAATGGCTTGGCAGTCACACAGCTATGGCTCGCGTTTCAGCTTGCATTTGCCACTGTTAGACATTTTGTCAAGTCAGCAGAAGTTCTGCGTTAGAATAACCGTTCAGGTCCATTAAGGAGTGATGAGGAGCATTAGTTATTGCAGCAACGCCAAATATATATCTTTAAATTATAACGACCAGCACAAACTGTTTTTATTCAATGAAATTAGTCAGCTGATTCAGTGTAGTTGTATGAATTAACCTGACCAAATAAATGTGGAAATAAACCAAATTTAGTGTAAGGCTAGGAGTTTGTCTTCTGACCAGGAACAACTCTGTGCCCTTGTTATAGTCTACAAGATGTTTCTAGTTCAGGTCAGGTGTTCAGGAAACCCGCCCTATCATGGGCTCATCTTAACCAGAGGGCCTGATCTAGGATCAGTTTTGCATGGAGTGGGGGGGGGGACCTGATCCTAGATCAGCACTCCCACTCTGAGATGCTTTATGAATACAGGCCCTGATTGAAAAAAGCAGAAGAACTTTCCACAATGCTCTCAAAAACCAAACAGAATGGCACAGCAGAATGTCACTACGTCTAGACAGCCGGTAAACAAATAAACAGCAGTGGACCACACTGTCTACACGACAGCCATAGCGAACATATCAAAACCATATTGAATAGTTCAGATATGGCCATCAGCCTGGTATTGTGTGTCATCAGAAGGTGCTGGTCATATGGATGAGGACATGTTTGAACAAGCCAATATTTCAATACGTTGACTACAATAAGTTAAGACATTATTATGGCCTACGCAACCTTGTTTCCCCAGTTACAGATTCTCTAGAAACTCCTTAGGACCCCCTGACGTTTCACACATTTGTTCAATTGCAACCCCATTTGAATCAGGTGTGCCAATACTGGAAAATATCAAATAGAGGAACACGCAGTGCTTGAGGAGAGGTTTGAGCAACACTGTTTTAGAATGTACACCTTAGCAAGGAATGGGTTAATGGTGGGCATGGTTCAAATGACGGGGTTCCTACGGTCAAGGTTCTAATGGCATGGTTCTAAAGCCGTAGTTCCATTTCCGGGAAATACTCACACTCGGTCCGTGCCGTAGCTCCGGTAGTCCACGGCGGCCGACACGGTCACGATGAGCGCAGGCACGCCGTAGCCCACCAGGTAGAAGAAGCGTTTGCGCGAGTGCTCGCTCTCGAACACCTCCACCAGCATAATGTAGAGCTGCACGCCCTCCAGGAACATCCAGGTGAAGGCAGCCAGGAAGAAGAAGTGGAGCAGGGCAGCGAACACAGAACAGGCAATCTGAGGGGAGAGGGGACACGGTACAGGTCAAAGGTCATGTTCAAAACTTGAATGCAGAGCAAAAATAATGAGCAGAACGTGCACATACGCACGCACGCAAACACGCACGCATACACACACTACTTGTAACGACTGTAATTGATCCGATTATTGAAGCAATTGGTCATACCTGGGGTACTTTGTTCAACGGTCATTGAAATTGGTTCAATTAAATGACTGTCAGGATCAGTGGCCATCAATGCAATTCAGGAGAGAGTGATCTTTAAACTGCCCACTGAATCAAACCATCACATTTTATGAGAAGAGTAGATGGCAAAAGCATAGTCTGAAAGCTCTAAGATAATATAAATGTTGCTTTGTCATCCGTACTCTAGGGTTCACATTTATGACAGCAAGTGTGTGTGTGTGTCTGCCACTGTTCTAATTGTGCAACATACCTTACCTTGGAAACTACAGCACTCTCACACACACACACATACACACTTTCATTCATTAACACAAAGTGAGAACTCCTCCTCTAACAACTTCTCTCACCCCCCTCCCTACTGCACCCTGTTGATAATGACAGTGCCCTGAGAGCAGAGCTCTAGCAGGTCAGCTCAGCTCTCTAAGTGACAATCCAGCGGTGGCCATTAAAAGCATGGGGGAGAGGGGGGGTTGACATATTGATCGCCTAATCCAGATTATCTACAGCACTTAGAGATCAGTCTACTGTTCTACGACGGGAGGGCTAGTGCAGTGGTGGGTGGTGAGGGGTGGAAAGGGGAGGCAGGGGTGAGGGTGTGTGTGTGTGTGTGTGTGTGTGTGTGTGTGTGTGTGTGTGTGTGTGTGTGTGTGTGGTTCTTTGATAGAAACATAGGAGCTTGAGCTGTGTCAGGTGAAGTAACAGGGTGGAACTGGAGAGAACCAGGAGGACTGGGGAGAACCAGGGAGACTGGAGAGAACCAGGGGGAAAACCAGGGGGACTGGGGAGAACCAGTGGCACTGAGGGGGAACTGGCTGAAGGGATATTTGTGAGAGAGGCTTAGAAAGGTCTAGATGAGGGCAGAGTCAGGGTTGGCTAACAAAGGTATCCCACGGTGTTGATTATCATTGCTAGTTGAAAAGATACATGAAAGATGATAACCTTTTATCCTTATCTCCTTTATACACATGATTGACCTATACCATCAATACATTCTATACATTACATTCCAATAAGTTGATGAACAACATTGTTATGAGTGGCACACACTCATAACCATGGATACTTAAAGCTTCAAAAAACTCATGTTCTCAAGATCAGTTGAGACATTCAAATCGGAACAGACTAAGGGGCAATTATATTTGTTTTAAACTCTAGAGGAAACGGATACATTCAACTGTCTGCAACCTTCACTAATTTAAATTATGATGGCAGACAATTTCCCATCAACCAGGAATCCTTGCTCATGTTGTCTAGCACAAATAAGATGTAGCATCTATAGATCCATTGTATTTCAGCGGTTCACCCTTCAAATACACAGATGCCCTAGGAAGTGCATCGAAGTACACTCAAACCTTAATGTTCTGGTCAGACTACTGAATTGCTTTCTCGAGCGTAACTGGCCGCCAAGAGATGAGAGAGCCGCGGTGTTTTTGAAATATTTAACTGATAAGATTAGCAAAACAATTCATAAGGGTTAAGGTCAAAAGCTGATGGATTTTCTAATTTCCTAACTTCCTGGCTCAGCTCATGGTTTTCTACTATCCTTTCTAGTGTCTTACCAGGGTTGTTCTGTGAACAGAATAACTTGGAACAAAAGTTAAAAAATAAGGAACATGTTATATGGTTAACTATCTAGCTGTTACCAGTGGACCCACTCTATTGAAGGCGTAGTTACTGTAGTGGGACTTACTGTTAGCAGTGGACCCACTCTATTGAAGGCGTAGTTACTGTAGTGGGACTTACTAGTAGTATAATAGGCAATTGCACTAATATACAGAGCACAGAACCATGTCTAATTTAGACCTGAGGAACCAGGTATGAAACCTCTCTAGCCAATCAGTAACACTAATTAATCAAATGGCAGTTTGAAATGAAAACCACGTGGGCACTTTGGCCCCTCGAGGACTAGAGCTGACACCCTGGATGCACTTCAATAGTCTAACGTGGCTTCCTCGCCTCCTTTCCCTAATCAGAACTGATTTGGGAGACCGGTGACTGATCCCAAATAGACTTCTGCCTCGTTGCCGTCACCTATCCGGCATGTTCAGATTAGTGCAGATGAAGACGGCAAGGGGAGGGGAGGGAGCAACTTTAGACTACTGAGATTAAGCCCCCTGACACGCACCCCTCCCTCTGTCAACCACTGGGACCTTCGATGGCTTAAATACCAAAATGCATGAAAAAAGCCTGATGCAGGTGTGTGGTGGAGTGTATCACAAGTAAAACCTCCCCAACTTTTCAGACAGACAGAGCAACACCACCCTAGGCCCTCCACCAACACACCGCTGTCATTGAAAATATATTGAGTCGGCTGTGTTTTTTGAGCATAATTTGTCTGGCTTAGGAGTGTTCTTACCGGTTGGTCAGCTCGGTTGATCCCCACCAGGAAGAGGGACTCTGCGATGAAGAGGCTGATGCAGAGGTTCTTGTGGATGGTGTTTCGGTCGCTCTGGAGGCCCCGGAAGAAGCAGAAGGTGAACAAGCTGATGAGCAGGCAGACCAGGGAGAGCAGAATGCCAACCCATGTGATCACATCCAACAGCAGGTCATGGACCGGGTCTGTATTCTGGAAAAGCGTACAAAAAAAGAATAAATTCAAGTATTTTATTAGACATGGTTAAAATACATACAGTGGGGGAAAAAAGTATTTAGTCAGCCACCAATTGTGCAAGTTCTCCCACTTAAAAATATGAGAGAGGCCTGTAATGTCAACTATGACAGACAAATTGAGAAAAAAAAATCCAGAAATTCACATTGTAGGATTTTTAATGAATTTATTTGCAAATTATGGTGGAAAATAAGTATTTGGTCACCTACAAACAAGCAAGATTTCTGGCTCTCACAGACCTGTAACTTCTTCTTTAAGAGGCTCCTCTGTCCTCCACTCGTTACCTGTATTAATGGCACCTGTTTTAACTTGTTATCAGTATATAGACACCTGTCCACAACCTCAAACAGTCACACTCCAAACTCCACTATGGCCAAGACCAAAGAGCTGTCAAAGGACACCAGAAACAAAATTGTAGACCTGCACCAGGCTGGGAAGACTGAATCTGCAATAGCTAAGCAGCTTGGTTTGAAGAAATCAACTGTGGGAGCAATTATTAGGAAATGGAAGACATACAAGACCACTGATAATCTCCCTCGATCTGGGGCTCCACGCAAGATCTCACCCCGTGGGGTCAAAATGATCACAAGAACGGTGAGCAAAAATCCCAGAACCACACGGGGGGACCTAGTAAATGACCTGCAGAGAGCTGGGACCAAAGTAACAAAGCCTACCATCAGTAACACACTACGCCGCCAGGGACTCAAATCCTGCAGTGCAAGACGTACTGCTTAAGCCAGTACATGTCCAGGCCCATCTGAAGTTTGCTAGAGTGCATTTGGATGATCCAGAAGAGGATTGGGAGAATGTCATATGGTCAGATGAAACCAAAATATAACTTTTTGGTAAAAACTCAACTCGTCGTGTTTGGAGGACAAAGAATGCTGAGTTGCATCCAAATAACTCCATACCTACTGTGAAGCATGGGGGTGGAAACATCATGCTTTGGGGCTGTTTTTCTGCAAAGGGACCAGGACGACTGATCCGTGTAAAGGAAAGAATGAATGGGGCCATGTATCGTGAGATTTTGAGTGAAAACCTCCTTCCATCAGCAAGGGCATTGAAGATGAAATGTGGCTGGGTCTCTCAGCATGACAATGATCCCAAACACACCGCCCGGGCAACAAAGGAGTGGCTTCGTAAGAAGCATTTCAAGGTCCTGGAGTGGCCTAGCCAGTCTCCAGATCTCAACCCCATAGAAAATCTTTGGAGGGAGTTGAAAGTCCGTGTTGCCCAGCGACAGCCCCAAAACATCACTGTTCTAGAGGAGATCTGCATGGAGGAATGGGCCAAAATACCAGCAACAGTGTGTGAAAACCTTGTGAAGATTTACAGAAAACGTCTGACCTGTGTCATTGCCAACAAAGGGTATATAACAAAGTATTGAGAGACTTTTGTTATTGACCAAATACTTATTTTCCACCATAATTTGCAAATAAATTCATTAAAAATCCTACAATGTGATTTTCTGGATTTTTTTTCCTCATTTTGTCTGTCATAGTTGACGTGTACCTATGATGAAAATTACAGGACTCTCTCATCTTTTTAAGTGGGAGAACTTGCACAATTGGTGGCTGACTAAATACTTTTTTCCCCCACTGTATAGAGTTGCCTCAACTACTGAAGTACAATAATAGTTGCATTAAAATGATCAAGGCTTAAAGGCACAATAAAGTCTACAAACTTATTTCCATTGTGGTTCTCGTTATTATCAAGGAAATGAATTAGATGAGATTACTGTACTACTGAAGTACAATAATATATGCATTAAAATGATCAAGGCTTAAAGGCACAATAAAGTCTGCCGACTTATTTCCATTGTGGTTCTCGTTATTATCAAGGAAATGCATTAGATAAGATTACTGTTAATTATTATCATTCTATAGGGTATTTGTGTTGCAACATTATAACGACACTATATTGAATCAAGAAATCACTGGCGAAAATAACTGTCTGTTCAGATGACATTATGATTACAATATTTTTTTGTTATTGATAACTAAAATCAGAATCATAGCCTGTATATAGCCTCGTTATTGTTATTTTATTGTGTTACTTTTTATTTTATTTTTTACTTTAGTTCATTTAGTAAATATTTTCTTAACTCTATTTCTTGAACTGCATTGTTGGTTAAGGGCTTGTAAGTAATCATACCTGTTGTATTCGGCGCATGTGACAAATAACATTTGATTTGAAATGTTCTATTCACTAATACACTCAAAACTACATTAAACTGTTGTTTGGTAGGGCCACTCCTCAACCTCTTCAGGAAATGACCTACAGTTGAAGTCGGACGTTTACATACACTTAGGTTGGAGTCATTAAAACTTGTTTTTCAACCACTCCACAAATTTCTTGTTAACAAACTATATATTTGGCAAGTCGGTTAGGACATCTACTTTGTGCACGACACAAGTAATTTTTCCAACAATTGTTTACAGACAGATTATTTCACTTATAATTCACTGTATCACAATTCCAGTGGGTCAGAAGTGTACATACACTAAGTTGAATGTGCCTTTAAACAGCTTGGAAAATTCCAGAAAATGATGTCATGACTTTAGAAGCTTCTGATAGGCTGATTGACATCATTTGAGTCAATTGGAGGTGTACCTGTGGATGTATTTCAAGGCCTACCTTCAAACTCAGTGCCTCTTTGCTTGACATCATGGGAAAATCAAAATAAATCAGCCAAGACCTCAGAAAAAAAATTGCAGACCTCCACAAGTCTGGTTCATCCTTGGGAGCAATTTCCAAATGCCTGAAGGTAGCACGTTCATCTGTACAAACAATAGTACGCAAGTATAAACACCATGGGACCACGCAGCCGTCATACCACTCAGGAAGGAGACGCGTTCTGTCTCCTAGAGATGAATGTACTTTGGTGCGAAAAGTGCAAATCAATCCCAGAACAACAGCAAACGACCCTGTGAAGATGCTGGAGGAAGCAGGTACCAAAGTATCTATATCCACAGTAAAATGAGTCCTATATTGACCTAACCTGAAAGGCCGCTCAGCAAGGAAGAAGCCACTGCTCCAAAACCGCCATAAAAAAGCCAGACTACGGTTTGCAACTGCACATGGGGACAAAGATCGTACTTTTTGGAGAAATATCCTCTGGTCTGATGAAACAAAAATATAACTGTTTGGCTAGAATGACCATCGTTATGTTTGGAGGAAAAAGGGGGTCTCTTGCAAGCCGAAGAACACCATCCTAACCGTGAAGCACAGGGGTGGCAGCATCATGCTGTGGGGGTTCTTTGCTGCAGGAGGGACTGGTGTACTTCACAAAATAGATGGCATCATGAGGAAGGAAAAGTATGTGGATATATTGAAGCAACATCTCAACACTTCAGTCAGGAAGTTAAAGCTTGGTCGCAAATGGGTCTTCCAAATGGACAATGACCCCCAAGCATACTTCCAAAGTTGTGGCGAAATGGCTTAAATCAAGGTATTGGAGTGGCCATCACAAAGCCCTGACCTCAATCCTATAGAAAATGTGTGGGCAGAACTGAAAATGCGTGTGCAAGCAAGGAGGCCTACAAACCTGACTCAGTTACACCAGCTCTGTCAGGAGGAATGGGCCAAAATTCTCCCAACTTATTGTGGGAAGCTTGTGGAAGGCTACCCGAAACGTTTGACCCAAGTTAAACAATTTAAAGGCAATGCTACCAAATACTAATTGAGTGTATGTAAACTTCTGACCCACTGGGAATGTGATGAAAGAAATAAAAGCTGAAATAAATCATTCTCTCTACTATTATTCTGACATTTCACATTCTTAAAATAAAGTGGTGATCCTAACTGACCTAAAACAGGGAATTTTTACTAGGATTAAATGTCAGGAATTTTAAAAAAAACTGAGTTTAAATGTATATGGCTAAGGTGTATGTAAACTTCCGACTTCAACTGTAGCTGTCACAGACAGGACCACAGGTGGTGATGTGGAAATGGCATGAAAATGTGTCACCAGGGTTTTTTGGCAAGGTAACAAATTGGGCCACATCATAGAAAGGGCCACAGGTGGCTGTGAAAGGCACTATGGGTAATCAATTCAACCACACTATGGTCAATCAATGTCATCATTGCTTTTAGTCAAGGCTTTTTCCAAAGGATAAATTCCCCAGCAATAAAAATGTCCCCTTCTGATAGCAGATACCTGTATTTACAGGAAAAAAGCAGGCACTGTGATGCCACAGCAACCATGAAAGGGAATTTACAGCAAACCATAAGTCAGTGCACTAAAGGACTACTTAAATGAGCCACAAAAAAATAACACATTCCGAAATAGCAATTCTTTCAGTGTGTTAGCGTTGGGTAGACATTGAGCAAATGCACTATATGTTCCATTTTCCAATTGACTCACTAAATCTTACCTCAGAAGCTGGTCAAATGCTACACATCTCCATTTATCATGCTCACTCAAATACATTCACATCAGTACACTATCTCAACTGTATAACTGCCTAGACCATATATGTGATCTGACTGTATGTATATTGTACTATATACGGTGCATTCAGAAAGTATTCAGACCCATTGACTTTTTCCACATTTTGTTATGTTACAGCCTTATTCTAAAATAGATAAAAAACATGTTTTTCCTCATCAATCTACACACAATACCTCATAATGACAAAGTGAAAACAGGTTTAGACATTTTTACAAATGTATTACAAATAAAAAACAAAAATACCTTATTTACATAAGTATTCAGACCCTTTGCTATGAGACTCGAAATTGAGCTCAGGTGCATCCTGTTTCCATTGATCATCCTTGAGCTGTTTCTACAACTTGATTGGAGTCCAACTGTGGTAAATTCAATTGATTGGACATGTTTTGGAAAGGCACACACCTGTCTATTATAAGGTCCCACAGTTGACAGTGCATGACAGAGCAAAAACCAAGCCATGAAGATGAAGGAATTGTCCGTAGAGCCCCGAGACAGGATTGCGTCGGACTTGAACCTGATCGAACATCTCTGGAGAGAACTAAAAATAGCTGTGCAGCGATACTCCCCATCTAACCTGACAGACCTTGAGAGGATCTGCAGAGAATGGGGGAAATTCCCCAAATACAGGTGTGCCAAGCTTGTAGCATCATACCCAAGAAGACTCAAGGCTGTAATTGCTGCCAAAGGTGCTTTAATAAAGTACTGAGTAAAGCATCTGAATACTGACAGTTGAAGTTGGAAGTTTACATACACTTAGGTTGGAGTCATTAAAACTTGTTTTTCAACCACTCCACAAATTTCTTGTAAACAAACTATAGTTTTGGCAAGTCGGTTAGGACATCTACTTTGTGCATGATACAAGTAATATTTCCAACAATTGTTTACAGACAGATTATTTCACTGTATCACAATTCCAGTGGATCAGAAGTTTACATACGCTAAGTTGACAATGCTACCAAATACTAATTGAGTGTATTTAAACTTCTGACCCACTGGGAATGTGATGAAAGAAATAAAAGCTGAAATAAATCATTCTCTCTACTATTATTCTGACATTTCACATTCTTAAAATAAAGCGGTGATCCTAGCTGACCTAAGACAGGGACTTTTTACTAGGATTAAATGTCAGGAATTGTGAAAAACTGCGTTTAAATGTATTTGGCTACGGTGTATGTAAACTTCCGACTTCAACTCTCTGTATTTCTTTATAAATTAGCAAAAAATTCTAAAAACCTGTTTTTGCTTTGTCATTATGGGGTATTTTGTGTAGATTGATGAGGGGAAAAAAACAATTGAATCATTTTTAGAATTAAGCTGTAACGTAACAAAATGTGGAAAAAGTCAAGGGGTCTGAATACTTTCTGAAAGCACTGTATACTGTATATAGTGATTCTGTGCTGTTTGAGATGAGATGCAAGACACATTTCCAGAAAGGGACAAAAAATAAATAAAATTGTAGAGATTTGTGCTTACAACCTCATATGTAAAACATCCACATACAGAAGATCAC